GTGAACTGGAAAGTGCCTCGAGATGAGATGTGTTGTGAATTTGGCGCTGTACTGAATTTAATCTGCCCTGAACTCAATTAAATTGAATTAAATTGAATTGAGGACGTCCCATCCAAGTTTCCCATCCAGGAAGTTTTTTAAATTCAAAATGTCAGAAATAGCGTTGAGTTCCAGGTTTTATACAGTGGTCCAACAAAGCCTTGTTTTGGTTTAGAAAACATGCAAATAGAAACAGACGGACGGGTCCACCCCCTTTTAATGGGAGTCATTTGGCTTCTTTTGTTAGCCTGCAATGCCCCGTACCTGTTTCCCTGTAAAGGGGTTGGTGAAGCCAAATGACCAGTGGATTGTTTTCTAACAGTTTTTCTATGACCTGGATGACTGAGGAGCTTCATCAGCAGAAGCGTTTGAATGTCCACTGAAGGTGGGAACATGCATGTTGCTGTTGAACGTGTGAAACATTCAGGCGTTTACTGCTTCTAGGTGGGATTTAAAGCGAGGAGCCAGAAGCTGTCTTTCACAGGAGCAGATGATGATGATGATGATAATGGGAAGATCCCTCAGACTTGCTGAGACTGAAACTTCTGAAGCTCCCAGCTCGCCTCAGAGCAGCTGACTGAGCTTAGTAATCCTCTCAGCGCTAAGTTACCGCCAAGCTAACAGCATTACAGCACTGAGTCTGAAGGGGGGGGGGCTGCACGCTAACCTCTGCCGCCTCATCCAGCTTACATCACAGGTGACGCTGCTGCAGTTCAGGTCCTGCTGCTCATGCATCACCAGCTGCTGCTGCGTCGCCGTCAGGCGGCTCGCATCCCTCAGAGCAGGAACTTCCTGCAGACCCTCCATGGTTCATTCACGTCTGCTGCTCCACTTTCATTCATCCAACAGAAATATCACATTAAACATAAACTTAAAACTTTATTAGACCTTATAGAAAGTCAATGACTCCAACAGTCCCTTCCAAGTCAGTTCTTCTTGCTTGGATTGAAGTTACTCTGTAAAGTCTCTTGAGATCATATGTTGTTTATTAGCACTATATTTAAAGACAACTGCTTTAAATTGATTACAAAGATTTTTTTACTTGTTTAATTTTCTCAAAATGTTATGAAAATAATGGAAATTTTGATTTATTGCAGTATTTCCCACTATATTAAGGATGCTTTCATTCTAGCACACGTGGCAGGACTGCTTTTTATGTTCAATCCTTTTAGAAAAATAGTCGCCTCATTGGTCACACTACAGAACTAAACTGAAGGTAAAGCCTTATAATACAGACCACTATATATACCTGCAGTTTTAAACAAACCAGAACTGTTTTCTCCTTCCAGGTTTTATAGAGTGGACCAAAAACAAAGCCTTATTTTTGTTTAGAAAACATGCTAATTGAACCGGCAAACGGGTCCACCCCTTTGGAATGGGGGTTGTTTGGCTTCCTCAACCCCTTTACAGGGGAACAGAAGACCCTGCCTATTCAGCCAGGATAACAATTCCCTTTAACGACCCCCCTTTCAGAGACATAGACAGGTATGGGGCATTGCAGGCTAACAAAAAAGCCAAACGGCCCCCATTCCAAAGGGGTGGACCCGTTCATCCGTTTCTATTTGCATGTTTTCTAAACTAAAACCAGGCTTTGTTGGGCTGCTGGATAAAACCTGGAACTAAACGCTATTTCTGACTGATTATTTAGAAGCCTTGTTTCATTCGTTACGCTAGTATGTAGGAAAAGGAAGGAGGTGAGAAAAGAAGAAGATTCCTCGACTGGAAAAAATAAAAATCTAGATAAGTAATTTTTTCTTAAAATAAGTGCATTTGTTCTTGGATCAAGGAGGTAAAAATGACATTTTGCCAATAGAACAAGAGAATTTACATTTTAATGAAGAAAATACAATTGTGTGGTCTTATTTCAAGTGCATTTTATGTAATTATCTTATTTTAAGAGTAAAAATATTCATTCCATTGGCAGATCATTTAATTTACCTACTCAAATTAAGGGTAAATACACTTAATTTAAGACATTTTTTCATATTTCTAGATCGTTTTTCCAGTGTCCATAGTTTAGATAAGGGGGAAACATAGATAAACATGTATTTATCATGTTCAAGGTTCCCACGTGGTTCTGGTGTGAATGGAAAACATTTGTCTGAAATGTTTATTTGACTAAATTTATGTCTTTGATGAACTGAAGTGTTTCTCTTGGGAAGACTTGATGTTCTGTTTGTGTTGTTCTCCTTTGCAGGGTAAAATTAAACCTTTTCTTCTTTGCGTATTTCCTCTCAGCGCTCATTTTAAATCACAATCAAACTTGGAAACAAAGTCCACTGGATTATTTTTAACTTTTTTGGAATGACTATAACCTGGATGACTGAAAATCTTCACCAGCATCATATTATATTATACCATTTTATACCATTGAAAGACATCTATAAATTAGTTGTCAGGACCAGCATAAAATAACCTGTCCTTTAATAACGTTTTAGTGAAACATGTTAACTCGATGTTAACCATCGCCCGATCGCCCGGGGCAAGTCGCTTTTATTGTCGGGAGAGTACAAACTTTATTGCTTTTGCCCGCCGGGCAAGTGCAATGATCGCAAAAAAAATGTATTTATCACTCAAAATTACTTTAAAATCACGACATTCGATGAAAACGACCCAGAAGCGCTGCCGGCGCCATTTTTGTTGTTTTAAACACATTCTCGCGTGATTTGAAAAAGCCGGGTGATTTTCCGCCAGATGGCGTGTTTTTTTTTCCACCTAGCGGTAATGTTGACATAGTTACCAAAACGACAAATGGCTAGGGGTGGGTATTGGCAAAGAAGTCATGATTCGATTCGAATCACGATTCACATGCCACGATGCGATTCTATCACGATGCATCATGATACTTGAAATATTGCGATGCATTGCGATATTTTCACTGAAGAATGTAAGAAAAAGATCCCACCCTTACCAGTGGCTGACTGGCTGGGTGTGATCTGGATCGTGTCTTCCAATCGATACATAACTGAAAGCAACTGAATTCATACATAGCTGTATTTATTTAAACGACTTTTAAAGGTGTTGCCATGAAAACAAATACTGGACAGAAATATTACTATTACTGGCGTGGACACACTGACAAAAAGATCTGAGGATTCATCAAACTTAAAATAACAAAATAAGGATAATCAGTGCCGTTTACATGGCCTCAGTGGTCCTTTAAACCAATGAAACGAAAACATTCAAATGTATATTTCCCCTTTTGCAAATTACGTGCATCATATCAATTTCATTTTTACCTTCTTTGTTTTTAAAGCCAGAATGCATCCAAGCATCTGATTTGAAATGTGATGGAGCCGCGGGGCGAATTTTCATAGTGTCCTCCATGTTTTATTTCATATGACTCGTCGCAGTATCCCGCAGCCGGAAATATTGGTGACACAAAGCAGCGGGCGTTTACACATCTGCAGCGACATCTGCTGGACTGGAAGTTGTATTACACTTGGTTTGGCTGATGTGCGCCAACCATTCATGTATTTTATTTATTTATTTATTTATTTATTTATTTATTTATTTTTAAATAATCGATTCTTGCCTTCAAGAATCGATGCAGTAGATCACAAAAATTAGAATCACGATGCATCGCCATGACGATTATTTTGCACACCCTTACAAACGGCTGCATTTATTTTGTCAGGGAAAACTAATCCTGAGTCAGTTAAAAGTCAGGGAATCCTGAAATGATGTCAGACTGTGGAAACCCTGAATAAAATAACTATGTATAATGATTCTCTAGAAAAGTCACATTATATTAATAGTATTATCTTGTATAAACATACCGTGACTCTAAAATAAAAGTTATTCATTTGTGACATTGACTTCTATCTTGTGATTTATCTTAAGTTTTTAACCTGTCAAGTTTTTTTTTTAGATTTTTAACATTACAATTAATATTTTTCCAAGCACACAACAGTTTAAAGCAAAGTTTAGTTTGAAAAGAATGTGCAGGAAGGATTGAAAAGCATGTTAACACGGTAATGTAGGCTTGAGTTCATTATCTGACGCATGCAGATACACACCAGGAACCTGGAAACGTAAAAAATACTGAATTACAAACTACATTTAAAAAACAAACATGTTTCATTGATATATATACAAAAAATGAATATTAGGAACTATATTTATCAAACATTATACTGGGCAGGTAAAAATTGTTTCTGGGCAAATGAAATGTGAAAGTCACTTGCCCAAAGGGCAGGTGGTAAAAATCCTTGACGTCGACCTCTGATAGGTATATTTAACTTTTTCAGGTTATGATCATTTTCCTTTGTAGAAAATTTACAATAATAGTCACATTAACAATGTAAATGATACTCTTTAGTGCATCTTTATAGCAGTTTTAAAGATTGCATAATTTACTTGTGTGTGTGTGTGTGTGTGGCCATGTCTTTAATACCTGGTGGGGACAATTTCCTAGGAATATGCTACATTTTGGGGACTCATAGGTACTTGTGGGGACAAACAACTGGTCCCCATAAGGAAAGTTTCTCTTCTTGGGGTGGGGGTTAGGTTTAGGACTAAAGTGTGAATTGAGTTTAGGTTAGGTTTAGGGATAGGTATGTGTCGGTAATGGTTAGGGTTAGGGCAAGGGTCACGGTTAGGCCATATGAATTAGTGGGAAATGAATGGAAGTCAATGGAAGGTCCCCACAAGGATATTGTGACACAACATGTGTGTGTGGGTGTGTGTGGGGTGGGTGCAATATCAATGTGTTTCACGGGGCCCCTAATTCCTGGCAGCGCTAATAACTGAGACCAGTTCATACAGAATTCATTTAAGTTTATATATTTTTTAATGATATTAAGTTTTTAAGTATTATTACCTTTCTAGGGGGAAAAAAAAACAACCTTGAACATGGAGCTCCTCCTACTGCTAATTTAAACTTCCTTAACATAGAAATAAACTGTCTTATTCTGACTGCTCATCAGACTGATTCCTTTCTGGCTGTCGGTCTCCTGCAGGTGTCTTCCTCATCCCGTACCTGCTGATCGTCTTCGTGGGAGGAATACCCATCTTCTTCCTGGAGATCGCGCTCGGTCAGTTCATGAAGGCCGGCAGCATCAATGTGTGGAACATCGCTCCGCTCTTCAAAGGTGACAATAAAATCCCAACAGAACTTCTGACGAACTGCCATACCAGTGTTTCCAGTGGGGCAACTGGTAGCGTGGTTCCTGTAACATTATATTAAGATTCTCACAATGTTTAAAGAGATGTGAAAAGTTCATTTTTTGACTCTTCGCACTGATTATAATACCATAGAAAATCATAAAACGTTTGACTTTTCAGTCTTTATTGTGGTTAACAAAAGAAGGAAAACTACCTGGTTGCAGTTAGTCATTGCTGCACCTGGATGAGCCTTCAGAGTTAGCAGACATTCACCTGCACTGCACCGCAGCAATTCCTTATATCTGATGCCACATCAGGTATCATGCATTTATATCAGTGGTTCTGGAACAGCTTCATTGATATAAGTCGGCTGGTTGATATGGAGGATAAAAAGTGCCAAAATTAAATAAATAAATACAGCATTAAATAAATAATTAAATGTGTCAATAATTAATTAAATATGGAATTAAATAAATAAATGTGTCATTCATTAACTAAAACCACGTCACTAATAATTCATTAAATAAATAAGGAATTAAATATATAAATGTGTCTTTAATTTAATAAAATATGTCTTCATTTTATTAAAAACATATATAATTATTTCAGTGTGCATTTAATTATTTCATGGTCCTGTGTCGCAGTGCATCGAAACCATTAAAAGAATCTGTCAAACTCACCCATCAAAGTTAGGGGGCGGGGTTAACGTGAATCGAGTCTCTGTAATCGATTTGCTCCGCCTTAATGTGCAGGGTGACCAATCAGGTGTTAGATAACCCCGCCCCCTAACTTTGATGGGTGAGTTTGACAGATTCTTTTAATGGTTTCGATGCACTGCGACACAGGACCATGAAATAATTAAATGCACACTGAAATAATTATATATATATATATTTTAATAAAATTAAGACGTATTTTATTAAATTAATGACATATTTATATTTTTAATTCCTTATTTATTTAATGAATTGCACATTTAATTAATTGTTTATCGCTGTATTTATTTATTTAATTGTGGCACTTTATATTAGTGACGTGGTTTTAATTAATGAATGACACATTTATTTATTTATTTAATTCCACATTGAATTAATTATTGATGCATTTAATTATTTATTTAATGCTGCATTTATTTATTTAATTTTGGCACTTTTTATCCTCCATAAGTTGAGTTTGAAGCTGTGAAAATTACTCCAACTTTTGAGAATTTTGACCATCAACTGTGTAGTTTGAATATCTGACCTGAACGTAGAACTAGGTCTTATAGAATATGATCAAAAGTGATGCTTAAAACAAAACCCTTTGAAAAAAAGGACGACCATCGAAATACATGAAGCCCACAATGTAAAAAATATTCATGTTTATCACTCCAGTAGAAGTTTAAATACTACTGCTGGTGAAATTATTCAGTCATCAAGCTCATAGTCATTCTAAAAAAAGTAAAAAACAATCCACTGGACTTTGTTTCCAAGTTTGAAGACGTTTCTCTTCCCATCCAGGTAGGTTTTTCAATTCAAAATGTCAGAAATAGCTCTATAGAGTGGACCAAAAACAAAGCCTGGTTTTTGTTTAGAAAACATGCAAATAGAAACGGATGAACGGGTCCCCCCCTTTGGAATGGCGGTCGTTTGGCTTCTTTGTTAGCCTGCAATGCCCCATACCTGTCTATGTCTCTGAAAGGGGGGTCGTTAAATGGGATTGCTGGCCTGGCTGAATAGGTGAGGTCTTCTGTTCTCCTGTAAAGGGGTTGGGGCTGCAATGATAGCGGGAAGGAATCAACTCTATCGCTGCATTGTAGGTTTTTGAAAGCTTCCTTTACGCCCCTCTCAAACCACCTGTCTTCTTTGTCCAAAATGTGGACATTCTGGTCCTCAAAAGAATGTCCTTTAACGCCTCCAGTAATGTATTTCTGCCTGATTGGGAATAGCAAACGCCTACGATGTAGGATTTCCTTTGGAAACTGTTCATTAACGCTGAAATCCGTTCCTCTCAGATCTCTTTCCCGACTCCTGACCTGCTCTTTTTGTTTATAGTGTTCAAACTTAGCCACAATTGGTCGAGGAAAGGCTTTATCAGGCTTCTTACCTTCAAGCCGGTGAACCCGATGAAATGGGATGTTTTTTACCTGATCTGGCAGGTTTTAGCTTCTGCTGAAGGAACTCACGGATTGTCACCTTGGGATCCTGCTGCTGCTGTTCCAGGATGTCTCTAATAGTCCGCGACTGAATGTCCAGAAGATTCGTTCATCTTCTTATTTTCGCCGGACAGCTAGATCGTCCCCTCTGTGACCTTCGCGGCTTCGTTCTCTGCGGTAACGGAGGCTAGCTGCGCTTGGCTGTATTACAGCGACTCTCTCAGGGCTTTATGTGGGACTTCTACCGAGGCGAGACGGGCGTCACGGCTCGTTAGCTTTTTGTCAATGGTTTCCAGGACGTCACTGTTGCTCCTGTCTGGAGGCAAAGTAGAAGCAGCACTTGTTGAGGTAGACCAGCAGCGTTTGAATGATGGTGCACCTGTGGAAGTGGGATTTCTAGTTCTCCCCATTATGATGTCAAAACACTCGTCCAGGTAGCTCTCCAGGCTCGTCAAGGTCTCCTCGTCCAGTTTGTTTCCACGTAAAATTCGAGACAATTGTTAATGTTTAAACCTGACTTTGTTTAATTTACAATTATTGACTTGTACTTGCCTGAGTGGATTTGATTTGAACTTCATGTATGTCGCCATTTTAAAGATCTCAGCCGCTCATTCCGCCAATCTGTCAAAAAAAAAGGTGTATATTAACCGCACAGTCTTGTCCAGAGGAGGGCGCTCTTCTGTGTTGGGCCATGCGCCTGTGGAGAGGCTGTTTCTCCAATATAAAGATCAGAGCATTCCTCTTGGCTTCATTTTCTTCGTTTTTTTCTTAGTTTTATAACTAATTAAACGGTTTCACATCTAACTTTGCATCATCCTTCAAAAAAAATATTTATTTTTGGTTTGTGGTGAATAAGTTGGGGCAAAAAAAAAAAAAAAAAAGAATAAGTTGGGGCAACACCGAGTCCAACTACAAAAAAAAAATGTCTGGATGAAACTAATAATTTTGATGGTTTTTATTCTTAAAAACCAACAGGCTGTAATGAAAATGAGCTCAAATGAAACAAAACTAATGAGTCTATTTTTAAAATGTAAGGAGCAGAATTAAAAAGTTGACTCCAGTAAAGTATAGAGAGCCAACGTTTCTACTTCAGTAAGGTAACAAAGTGTCTGTACTTTGTTACTTGACGCCTCTGTATCTTGGAGCTCCTTATCTTCACGTCTTCTCTAAACAGTGAGGGGGGGGCGGGTCAGGAGGAATTCTGGAATTCAAGGTGAAATGAAATGTTTTTTTTATCTGCTTCAGGTCAGCATGAAGTTCACCTGACTGAGGACAACCTGATCAGATCCTCCCAGTAAACAGTTTATGTGAATCTGTGCAGAAACTTCAGCCAATAAACAGAACATTCACCTTCTAGTCAAGGTTTATCTGCAGGTGATAATATCTGATCTGTACGTGTCTGAAGACACGGCTGGAAAGATTACCCCCCCCCCCCCCCCCCCCACACACACACACACAGATAATAAATCATCTCGTCCAACCCCCCCTTCTGTCACTTTCTCTATTAGCTTTACACATTTCCTCGTTGATAAAGACACTTCTGAATGTTTACAGCTACACTTATAACTCTGTTTATCACTCTGACCTTGGTGTGACCTCTGAGGAGGCGAGTTGAAGCCAAACCATAATCATCTGACCCAAATCCAGGGAACAGAAACAATAGCATCAAGTTTCTGACTCCAAGTCTGCCGGCTTCAACCCAGCAGTGTCTGAAGCATTGTTGCCATGGTTATATGAACGCATTATGGTCGCCTTTTAAGCATTGATGCTTCCTATCGTTATGCGTTTAGATTTGGGGAGCAGGGGTTCACAGCGCCACCTGCAGCTCTGACTTATTTACTGCATGGCTTTAAAAAAACAAATCTACTTTATTTATCCGAACCAATCCCATCATTTCCCAGTGTTTGTTTATTTTTCCCTTTGCTAAAAGGTTCCAGGTCTCAGGTTGCGTCCAGTCACTGCCTTTACAGCAATCCCCCCTCCTGAGCATGCATGTGAAAACAGTGGAGAGGAAATTAACTTTCTCCTTTCCTAACTTGAGTTTATTAACCATTCCAATAATAGCAGGATTAACAAACAGGATTTTTGACCCAATCAGGAGATTTTTACATTGTGCTAAACTTTGCTGCAGAAGTAGACGGTCCTCTGGAAGACAGGAAGCAGCAACCTCTGCGTTTCTTCTCAGCTCCTTTTATGCGCTAATTGGCACCAAAGCTCTAAAGCTTGACCGATGCTCTGCCATGTTTTGATTCTTTTTGTTTGTTTGGCTTTAATCTGAGAAATGAAACTAAAACAGAAGCTTTTCTCAGCTCTGTCATTTAGCTTCATTTCCATTTCATGTTGGTGCAGAAGCCTTTCTTGTTGACATTTGCATCATAACCAGAAGTAAATATATATTCTGTACATGTTAAAAATTATAAAGCAATTATTTTTATACGTCTTTTCAGAAGATCAACCCTTTTTTCAGGCACTATAAACATTCTCTGGATGTGTTTGGAAAAATGTGTATTTTTGATGGAAAGGTTTAGATTCTGTAACCAGAGAACCAGAAACAGCAAACAGCTGTTAGCTCAGTTAGCTCCAGTGGCGGCTGGTGGGATTGTTTTTCCCCAGAAGGGGCTATAAATTCAAAATAGACATATACAAAAAAACATTCAAACCTATACTAAGTTATCACAGCAGTATATTTATATGAATGCCAACAACAAAAAAAACAACATTATAAAACACTTTATAAAAACAAAACATAATTTCATGTACAGGTTTACTTTTTGTCCATAAATCTTGCCCTTCTGAGGCCGTTTTCTGCATGGTCCTAACCTATTGTGTCACAAACCTAAAAAAAATTATGTACCAGTTTAATATTGGAAAAGCTATTAGTTAGCTTTATATTTTTTTTTATATAAAAAAACTATTTCTTTTCTGAGAATGTGTTTATTTAAGAGCAACTATGCAAATTAACAAACATCTAGAAAAAGTAGACTAGATTCTATTATTTTCCATGTGAATCCCTGATTGTTCACTCTTCTTTTCCTTTTCTACAAAGTGCTTTAAATCAGTCCTAGCTGCCTTTATCCACGCTGGATCAGATCCTGACGTTTGAAAAAGGAGGCAGGGAAAGCAGGATAAAGTCTTAGCCTCGCTGCATGCAGTTAGCCTCGCTGCACGCAGTTAGCCTCGCTGAAGGCAGTTAGCCTCGCTGCACGCAGTTAGCCTCGCTGAAGGCAGTTAGCCTCGCTGAAGGCAGTTAGCCTCGCTGAAGGCAGTTAGCCTCGCTGCACGCAGTTAGCCTCGCTGCACGCAGTTAGCCTCGCTGAAGGCAGTTAGCCTCGCTGCACGCAGTTAGCCTCGCTGCATGCAGTTATCCTCGCTGGACGCAGTTAGCCTCGCTGCATGCAGTTAGCCTCGCTGCACGCAGTTAGCCTCGCTGCACGCAGTTAGCCTCGCTGCACGCAGTTAGCCTCGCTGCATGCAGTTAGCCTCGCTGAAGGCAGTTAGCCTCGCTGCACGCAGTTAACCTAGCCTTGCTGCTAAACCAGGTCCTGAAAAAGAACGTTTCTTGCACCATTTCTCTCTCTCTCTCTCTGATGCGTCTCCAACTCCCGCGACTCAACCTGTCAATCACCCGCAAAACTTCTGCGCTGTGGCGGGAGATGGTGAGCAAATACACTTCCTGTCACCTCAGGGTGCACCAGAGCTGCGGCCTGAGCTCACCTCTCCTTCTGTATTGCAGAGGAGCTGTTAACCAGAGTAAATGGGCAAAGATTTTTGCTCCCTAGGGCAGAAATACGTCACCAATTTGATGAAAAATTTAATGATGCTTTACTAGTCATTAAAGATTAAACATGTATCTTGCACATCTAAGAAATGTGTATGTATTAATATATTTTGAAATATATTAAATGTAAATTTTTAATTTTTGTGGGTGGGGGCGCCCTCTATTGGCCAGACGCCACTGGTTCGCTCTTGTGTTTAAGTGGAGCTCAGACTGATGTAAAGCGGCGCTCTGGGTCACATGACCCATTCAGTGACAAGTCCGACCCTCTTATGTTACATTGACGGGTTTTAGGAGAGAGAAACCTGCATGGAGCATCATTACAATCCAAGAGCTGAATGTTGACTTGAAGAATAATTTAAAATGTCTGAAGCTAAGCTAATATTTGGGTCAAAGGTCACAATTTATTGCCTTAAATGACATCTAATCAAATCATTTTAATCATATCATCCTTGGAAAGTTTTCTACTTGAAACCCAGCTCCTGCATCAAGTCACTGACTCTGCAGCAATCCCTTATACCAAACATGCATTTGGTAACAGTGGAGAGGAAAAACCTTCTTTTAACATAGAGGATTTTCTAGCGGAACCAGAAGTTGGAATTTTCTGCTCTTAATTTTCTAAAATTAAATCAATTAAAAAGAATGATCTGTTTATCCAGATAGATTTCTAGCTTTTCTTTGGAGGCTTTAGCACATTTTTTGGGAGAGGAAGTAGCGTCTGTTTCCAACCGCATCTTTGCTTTTCAAATAAACTTGTGTAAAAGAAGATATTTTCTCCGGAATCATCTTAGTTGGATTTTAACCTAAAGTGCTGGTTTATTACTGTAACCATGACAACATGGTATTTACAAGCGAGCAAAGTTAACCTAGTTCTTTCAGGCTTAGTGGAGTCAAACATTAAAAGGGTTTACGATCCTTAAACAACGGCAGCAGCTGGTTCTGGTTTCAGGAGGTTTGATCCAGTTTATTTCCCAGTACCTTAATGCTTCAGGTCGTCCTAGAGGTCAGATCAGGTTATCCCATCATATTGGTATAAAGTCATTTTCATTTTTTAAAAATGTCAGTTAAATCAACTAAACAGAATAGTTCTACACAGATTTTATTTTTTATCCAATAGCCATTTGTTTTATTTTCTGCCTTCATGAAAACAAGAAGTTTTAGATAAGAAAATGACATCAGACCAAAAAAATATATATTTTAATACAAAAAAATTGGGTTTCGAACCCATTTATCCCTTTAGTTTTGTACTTTGACTAAAGGGATTCACGCCCGTTGAGGTAGTTTAAAGTATATTTTTCGTACAAAACTAAAGGGATAAATTTGACTAGCATCCACGTATGCAAATCTGACGTCTTGTGCATGCGTTTTGACTGGTATGCTGATCTGTGTTCTGTTAGATCAGCAAAAATGACTTCCTAATCTTTCTTCTTTTTTTTGCAGTGATTTAGGCAGCTAAAGAAAATTTGGACTGTGAGTTTAACTGATAGACTATATATCTAATATATCAAGGTGAAAGGCGGCTCTAGAATAGAATAGAAAATCCCTTTATTGTCCTACAATGGGGAAATTCTGGTGTTTACAGCAGCAAAAACATTACAGAAACAAACGTGGACGCAGGAAAATGTATAAGAATAACATAACAGGTGATAAACTAAGGTGTTTTTAATCTTATCTTTAAAGCAGCTTCAGTTTTAGCACTTTTACAGTTTTCTGGAATTTTATTCCAGATAAATGAGCCATAAAAACTGCTTCTCCACATTTGGTTCTGCAGAGTAGATTTGAAGCAGGAGACCTGAGAGGTCTGGCTGTCGATCCACTGCCAAACAGTCTGTAATGTATTTTGGAGCAAAGCCATGCAGGATTTATAGACTAACAGATCAGCGTACCCCACAGCCGGCTTTGCTGAACCCGCTGTGTTCTCTGCAGGTCTCGGCTACGCCTCCATGGTCATCGTGTTCTTCTGTAACACCTACTACATCATGGTCCTGGCCTGGGGCTTCTACTACCTGGTCAAGTCTTTTACCTCCACCCTTCCGTGGTCCAACTGTGAAAACGACTGGAACACGCGTAACTGCCTGGAGATCTTCCACCACCAGGACTGCAAGAACTCTAGCCTGGCCAACACCACGGTCGGCAGCGGGAACCTGACCTGCTCGGACCTGGCCGACGCACGCTCGCCCATCATTGAGTTCTGGGAGTGAGTTCTCTTTTGGGTGCGGCTGGGTCGGCGTTAGCATCGTCTCCGTAAACCATAGCTGCCTTCTGTCCTCTCACTGTGCAGGAACAAGGTGCTGAACATCTCGTCTGGTCTGGATGAACCCGGGGAGTTTAACTGGGAGCTGATCTTGTGTCTGATAACCGTCTGGATTCTGGTTTATTTCTGCGTCTGGAAAGGAGTGAAATCCACCGGAAAGGTAAGCGTCAATACGCTTAATGATTGTTTTTTATTCTGTTTAAAACTAGAATATTAACTCCAGTGGAGCGAAGAAACCAAATGACTGACCTTTGAACTTTTCATGGTTTCAGCCACAGGATATACGTTCAGAGAGGCTTAGTTAGAGCTGTGGTCCTATCACACTAAGCATGCTTGTAGCGACAGTGGAGAGGAAAAACTCCCTTTTAACAGGAAGAAACCTCCAGCAGAACCAGGCTCAGTGTGAGCGGCCATCTGCTGAGGCCCACTGGGGTTCAAGGAGACAGAAGCAGACATAGAAAAAGAAGCATAGATACAAAAGGCAACTGTCAACCAGCTCCACAGGCGGCCCCGTCTATTAACATTAGAGCCTGGATGAACGGGTTTGCAAAAAATAACAGTGATCCAGACTGGCTGCCATTAAAAATACATATAGGTATCTATTTAAAGATACAGATACACAGATAAATAAATGTTACATTTACTTATTTTAATGATGCGTTTACAATAGCAGCCTTTCAAAATGGCCGCCCACTTCCCTCCAACTCTCAGCAGAATCCCCTCCAACTTCCAGCCACTGCAGTGACCCCCTCTAGCATATCGTTTCACCCTTTAAGTGAATTACAGGGTCTGACCAGGGGATGATGCTTCTCTTTAGATCTTAATGTCCACAAATCATAACAGAAAGAATATTTTAGTCGAAAGATTGATGTTTAAAAAGGAATTGTTGGTAGGGTTGCAAACTCCCTGAAAAAAAAGGGACAACTCAAGCTGACCCGATTGTCTTCACCCCTTCTGGTGTGCTGATTTTATTTTTTTTAGCACCCTTTTGTGTGTGAAATAAATTTTTTTTTTACTATTTGACTCAAATCTGTTTTGAATTAGATGTATATTTGTGAGTGACACGAACACATGGAAAACAATTCATTTTAATACAAAATAACAAAGTTTGCTGAATAAAATAAATATCTTAAACATAAACCTGTCCTGCTTAACTTCACACTGTAAAAATTAATATTGATAATATTAATATTTCAAATAAGAAATACAATAAACTCTACAAAAACTACAGCATCATCCACTTAATAAAGAATGATCACATTAACATTTCACAGTGAATTACTTTCTATTTTCTAACGTTAGACCCAATGTCAACGTCTAACTCAGCCAGACTAAAGTTAGTCTGCAGACTAAACTATAGGATCCATCGGCTATAGATGGATTTATTGCTTAGTTCATCTACTGACTGGGAAATTACCAGTGGAATGTCTTCCTGCAGACAGAAAACTGCTGGTTTTAGCAGCCAGGTGCTGCACAGGGAGGTTTTTTTACTGGGCTTCTCCGTGGGAGTGGGGAGTACCAACATGGCGGACAGTGGCTTCACTTTTTTGGGTCAATCAGCAATCCAGTGAATAAATAGAGATCAGTATTACATACGAGACATATTCCTATGAATAACTTCATGAGTCCAAATAAACTGTGTTTAATTCTTTTTTCTTCTAAAAATTATAAAAGAGGAATTTAAAGGAAATTTTCAGACGGATTGTTTATGTAATAACCAGGTTATGAATCCTTTAACCCAACAATTACAAAAACTACTATGAATATAAAACCAACACTTTAAGATTGGGTAAAAACTGGGAATATTCATTAACATCTGTAGCCATTAATGCTCATATGGCAAATATTTATTTAATTTACTTATTAGTCTAACAGATGGTATAACTGTATATTTTCCAGTCTGTGCAACATTTCTCTATTCATCCTGATCAGAGACCTAAGAGCGTCATCAGGCTGCAGTCACATGACCAGTGCAGCGTTGCTATAGCGACCTGAGAGGGGGAGTCAGTGGTGTGATGTACCGGGGAGGCCTGTGAGGTGGCGGGATGTGATTGGCCAGCTGATAGGAGGGCAGCTTGTCTGCAGTGGGACGTGACTGGGATGTGTGCATGTGCTGCAGTGAGGCCCGCTTCCTCCACCTGCTCCGTCTGCAGCGGCGCCGAGCTGCTGCAAGGACACCAGGTTCCAGAACCATCTCAGAAAACAGAACGGAGACCAAACTTATTATCCTGAACACGTACATGGCAGCTGATGAGCCGAGGAAACCCTGAACGCTGAATGTTTCACCCGCTGGGGTCTACTTCACAACTTTCTATTACACTGCAAAAACAATCTAGAAATAAGTGAAACCTTTCTTAAGTTAGGTGTATTTACCCTTAATAAGAACAGGTAAATAAGATGATTTGCCAATAAAATAAGACAGTTAGATAATATGCACCTGAAATAAGACAATGCAGTTGTGTTTTCTTATTTTAAATCTAAATTGTCTTGTTCCATCGGCAAAATGTCTCTTTTACCTCCTCAATCGAAGAACAAATGCACTTAAAAAAAAAAAAATGACTTATCTTGATTTCGATTTTTTTTTTCCAGTGCTCCTGCAGGATGTTTGTCCTTTGCTCTCAGCAGAACTGTTAGAGGTGAACGGCTACAATCTGTTACTTTGCTAAAATAATCCTGAATTCAGAGAAAACTCCACAAAATATGCAAGTAAAGTTTAATTATGCAACACATTTCACTAACTCTTACACTGCAAAAGAAATAAAATCTAAATAAGGCAAGGCAAGGCAAGTCTAATTTATTTGTATAGCACAATTCAGTACAAAGACAAAGTGCTTTACAGGATTAAAAATAAATAAATAAAAAAAATAAAAAATGCAGAAACAAAAAAAAAGAATATTAAAAACATAAAAATTTGTTCATTTTTCTTCTAATAAGAGCATTTTTTCTTGAATGAAGCAGTTAAGTTATACACTTTGCCAATAGAATAAGGCAATTGACATTTAAAATGAAAAGAAACAACTGTGGTCTCTTATTTCAAGTGCATTATATCTAATTATCTTATTTTATACTTATTTTAAGAGTAAAAACGCTCAATTTAAAGGTGAATTTACTTAATTTAAGAATGTTTTACTCATTTTTAGTTCATCTTTGCAGCGTAAGGAGGCATCTCTACCAGTAATTATCATAAGATAATTAGATAATATATATTTGAAATAAATATTGCAATTGTTTTTTCCTGATTTAAAATGTAAATTGTCTTGTTCCATTGGCAGAGTGTCTTACTTACCTCCTCAAATGAAGAAAAAATGCACTTATTTTAATAAAAATTATTATTATTTAGATTTAAAAAAAATTTTAGTGTAGTAAATAAAATCTCTGTCACAGTGACGGACCTCTGGAGCTAAAAGCAGATGGTAAAAATGTGTCCTTAAACACAGTTCCCTTCATTTCTTCTAAATGTTTCCAGGTTTTCATACAGAGTCAGAATTATACATACAGATCAAATAGATACTTGCAAATAATATGCAAATAAAGTTTAATTATGCAACAAATTTCACTAACGAGATCCTTCAAAGTTCTGAATATAAACAGAATATAAGAGTAGAAAAACACAGAGGAAAGTCGTCTGCTACTGTAGCAGGAGCATCACCACCATCAGACAGCTGAACTGTTGAAAAAACCCAACTTAAGTGACAGACTCTGCATCACACTGATAACACCAACAAAAAAGAACTTAACAAAAAAATTTAAAACATTTTTTACCATGTATGCACGGCTTTAACGTATAGATTTTTTTGTTTTTGCACAATGCAACACTTCCATTGCTACGGAAGAGGATTAGGGCCACTGGAAAAAAAAAAAAAAGGTTAACTGATTTTTAAATTTTATTTCAGTTTAATCTCAGAATTCTGACTTTAATATCAGAATTCTAAGATTAAAGTCAGAATTCTGAGATTAAAGTCAGAATTCTTAGATTAAAGTAAGAATTCTGACTTTTTTCCCATGTTAAACTGAAATAAAATGTAAAAATCAGTTAACTTTTTTTTTTTTCAGTGGCCCTAATCCTCCGGTACATTACACCTGTATCAATACCATCTTAAAATAACCCTGTTTTGCATTAAATTAACGCCTTAAGTTTGCAAATTTAAAAACATTTCTTTGGACTTTCCCCTTAAGTTTTGATAAAATCTTTGATGTAGTATTAAGGAGGATTTCATAAAAGACTACATTTTATCCACATGATATTTATGCACTGGAAGCAATTTAAATCTAGATAAGTCATGTTTTTCTTAAAATAAGTGAATTTGTTCTTATTTCAAGTGCATATTATCTAATGATCTTATTTTAAGAGTAAAAATACTCATTCCATTGGCAAACTGTCTTATTTACCTACTCAAATTAAGGGTCTCACTGGAAAAAAGATCAAGAAATAAGTAAAAATTTCTCAAATTAAGTGAATTTACCCTTAATTTGAGTAGATAAATGAGATGATTTGCCAATTGAATGAGTATATTTACTCTTAAAATAAGGTATTTAGATAAAATGCACTTGAAATAAGACAATGTAATTGTATTTTCTTATTTTAAATGTAAATTATCTTGTTTCATTGGCAAAATATGTCTTTTACCTTCTAAATTCAATAACAAATGCACTTATTTTATGAAATAATGACTTATCTAGATTAAGATTTTGTCCAGTGCTTTCTTTAGCCGATGTAGTTTTTTCAGATTCACATAAAACTACTGAGAGGATTTTACACACAATGCTCACACGACTCTCAGTCCCAACACAAGCAGTGAGAGCTGCTGTTACCAGCAGGCGACCTAAAGCTGAGCCCAGCAGGGCGAGAGAACCTGACACACCATGAGGAACAGAGGGGGGAGGGGGGTCTTTTCACGAATCCTTTTAAATCCTCCTAACTTCACTAGGAGTGTACGTGGTAATGAGATTAAAATTTATTACAAGTTTACCTCAAACAGAATAAAAAGATTAGCCTTTTTTTACACCAAAATTCTAATATTTCTGACAGTCCTTATATGGTCACAGATTCTACCGTTGTTTGTCTTGAGTCTTTGAGTTTTTATGGCACTAATGGCTCGTTTTTTGACAGTAAGCAGACAGGAAAGTGGGTATGAGATAGAGACAGGTGGGATTCGAACCCGGACCGACCGCGTCAAGGACTAAAGCCTCCATACATGGGTCATGCGTGCTAACCGCGGCGCCACCTGCACGCCCAAATGCCCCCTTTTTGACCTCAGATATTTTCATGTTAGTTTGACTTTCAAATGTGATAGAAACAGACGCACACACTGCAGCTGCAATCACAGGGTCTATTATAGATAACTGTCAGATCAGCATACCTATAGTCAATACGTTGGCGCAAGATGTCAGATTTGCATTTATCCCTTTAGTTTTCTACGAAAAATAGACTTTAAGCTACCTCAACGGGCGTGCATCCCTTTACTCATGTACAAAAAAAACTATTCAAGGTCAGACCGCCATACACTTCTAAAAACACCAAAAAGTTATTATTTCGATTTTTTTCATACAAAACTAAAGCGATAAACAGGTATTGACTATGGGTATGCTGGTCTGACCGGGTATGCTCATCTGACAGCACCAGGCATACACTGCAATATTTTCAATCGTTGCACGCAGCTACAGCTCCCCGGATTTGCTGCTCTCCGTGGTCCTGAAACACGTACCGCTTCGTATCCGGTTTATTTTCCTTCACCTGATCCCCTCGGATGTTTCAGCTCCTGCACTTAGATCTCATCCTTGTTGAGTTGTTTTAGGTCAGAAAACAGCAGGAAGCCCTGAACGTCTCTGCCCCCATCCTCCTTAGCCCCTCTTATGTAACCAGCTTTAGTTACGGTCCAGAACCCTGAAGGGGCGAGTCCAGAGAAAACATCACAGTATTAGGGGAATTTCCTCGCTTTGGTATAAACTGAAGGTTTTAATCTGCTCTACATCCAGCAGCTATGAAATGACATCTGATAACAGTAATCTAGAACAGCAGGTTGATCCAATCAGAGCATATTGAGAACATGAGATGTTCTCTGATGGTGGTGATCCCTGGTTGATCACTCAAAACAATTTAATGTAATGGAGACAAGTTCCCAGGTCTCCTGTGGGGGTCACTATTGGTCTGTTTACTAAAGGCTAGTTGAGCCGCAGAGTGGAGGGGGGGGGCTGATGGTCTGAATGCCCCTGTTGAACCTTCAAGGATAATTTGGCTGGTCCAACTGAAAATGGGAAAGGAAAGGGGGAAAGGATGGTTTAATGGAAAGGATGGATGATGGATGGATGGGTGGGGATTTATGGATGGAAAGGATGAAATGGTTGGGGTGGGGGGGATTGGAAAGGAAGGATGGAAAATGAAAGGGTGGGTTTGGGGAAGGATGAATGGATGGAAAGGGGTGGTGGGGGGAAAGGGTGGATGGATGGGATGGATGGTAAAGGGTGGGTGGAGGGGTGGGGGAATGGATTTGGTGGGGGTTTATGGATGGGGGGGATGGATGGATTTTGGATGGTGGGGGATTGGGTGGTGCAAAGGAAAGGAAAAAGGGTGGATGGATGGGGTTTGGGTTTGGGGGATGGATTGGGGTGGGTGAAGGGTTGGGGCCCTGGGTGGAAAAAAATGATGGATGTTGGTTTTTTGGGTTTGGGGGATGGATGGTGCAAATGGGGTTTGGGTGGGGGGATGGATTGATGGGTGGTGGGTTGGGTGGGGATGGGGTGAGGATGGGGGATGATGGTGGATGGAAGGGGATGGAAATTTGGGTGGAAAGGTGGAAAGGAGGGTTTTGGATGGATGGGTGGATGGGATGGGTGGGGTGGGTGAAAGGGGGTGGAAGGGATTTGGGGGATTTTTAAAGGGGTGGATGATGGGTGGGAAGGTGGATTTTGGATGGGTAGGTTTGGGTGGAAAGGAAAAAGATGGGAAAGGATGGTGGGTTTGGATGGATGGTGGATGGATGGGGGATGGATGATTTGGGTGGATGGGTGGGTTTGGGTGGATGGTGGATGGAAAAAGATGGATGGGTGGATTGGGGGGAAGGGATGAAGGGTTGGGTGGATGGGGGGATTGGGTGAAAGGGGTGGTGGAGGGTGGATAGATGGGGGATGTTGGATGGGTTGGGTGAGGATTTGGGTGGTTGGAATGGGATGGATGGGGGGAATTTGGGTGGGTGGATGGATGGAGATGGATGGATTTGGGGGATGGATGGGGGATGGGTGGTGGGTGGATGGGGATGGGAGGGGTGGATGTTTTTGGAAAGGATGGATGGAAAATGGATGGGTGATGGATTTGGGGAATGGAGGGGGGATGGGATGGGGTTTGGGTGGATGGGTGGAAGGGGGGATTTGGATGGAAAGGAAAGATGGATTTGGGGGATGGATGGTGGATGGATGGAAGGATGAAGGATGGTTGGTGGAAAGTTTTGGGTGGATGGATGAATGGGTTGGTGGATGGATGGATATGGTGGGGTGGTGGTGTTTGGGTGGATGGTGGGGATGGGTTTGGGGTGGATGATGGGGTGAAAGGGATGGTGGGGTGGTTTATGGGTGGTGGGGTGGCGGATTGGGTGGAAAAGGGAAAGATGGATGGATGAAAGGTGGTTGGACAGGAAGGTGGAAATTTGGGTGAGTGGTTGAGAGGAAGATTGAGTTTTGGTTATTTAAGGGTGAAAGGTTGGGGTGAAGGTGGGTGGTGTTAGGAAGGAGGAGTGGATGGTCTGAGGAGAAGGGGGATTGGGGGAGGATTTTATTAAGGGAAAATGGCTTGGGGGATGGAAGGTTTGCTCTGGAAAGGTGGAAGAAAAGATGGAGGTGGGAAAGGGTGGGTAAGGATGAGGGGGATGTTAAGGTTTGGGAAGGAGGAATTTTTGGATATTGTGGTAGAGGAATATTTAAAGGTGGGTGGGGTGTGGGTGGGTGAAAGGGGGAGGTTGTTCTGAAGGAAGATGGAAAGGTGGGGTGGTGGAGGTGCTGGAGGTAAGTTGGTTTGGATGGATGAGTGGTTTGGTGGGTAGATTTAAAAATTTGGTGAGGTAAGAGGTTAAAAGAAGGATGGATCATTAGGAAGGTTTTGAGGATTATTTTGGGAGGGTTTGGGGGGATGGGGGAGGATGGTTGGGTGTGGAGGAGGATTGGAAAGGGAGTGGTGGGGAAGGGTGGGAAGGGAAAATGTTGGGGATGGTGGTGGGGAGGTTGGGGTTTAAAGGGGAAAATGGTGTGGGAAAGGTTATTGTTGGGAAATGGTGGTGGTTTGGGGAAGGAAGGAGAAGTTATTGGATGGGCGTGGGAAGGGATGGGAGGAAAGAGGGGTGGAAGGGGAAGGAAGGATGGTGGGTGGATGGCCCGGTGATTAAGGAAGGTGGAGGAGGTGGTGGGCAGGTGGAAGGATGGTGGAATGGATTGGGAAAGAAGGAAAAGGAATTTGGGGAAGTGGTTGGGGTGGAAGGAAAATGGGGTATAGTAGGGTGGGGTGGGGAAAGGGTTTGGATTTGGGCTGGCAACTAGGAGTATGGAAAAGGGAGTTTGTTGGATGGATTACAACCTGGGGTCTGGTGGATTTAAGATGGTTAAAGGTGTAAGGGATGGCAGGATTTTTGGGAGGTGTTTGGTGGGGTGTGGTTTGGAAAAAGGGGCTGGGTATTTTTAAAGGAGGATGGGTGTGGAGATATTTAGGGTTTTGGAGGTGGTTTAAAGGATGGAGATGGAGGAAGGTTTTGGGTGGAAAGTTTGAAGGGCATTTGGGTTTGGTTAGGGATGGAGGGAAAGGATGGTTTGGGTGGGAATGAGAAGGTGGAAAGTAAGGTTTAAGGGTTATGGCCCAAGGGTTTCTGTTGGGTATGTGGTTGGACGGGGAGGAAGGAGTGGAGGATTTTTGATTTCTGATGGAAAAAGGAGGGTGGGAAAGGTTTATAAAAAAAACAACCCCCAAGTAAGGGAAAGGATTTTTGGGAAGGTAAGGTATGGAGGAAAGAAGGGGGAAGGGAAAATGGGAAGGGGGATGGATAAGTTTTTGCAATTTTTGGGTGGTTGGAAAGGAAGGATTGGTGGGAAAGGAAAGGAGGTTTGGATTGGTGAGGTTTTGGTTGGGGGTGGAAGACAGGTTTGGTTTGGAATGGTGGATTGGGGGAGAGGGGGGTTTTCAAAGGTGGCCCCCCTGGTTTGTGGATTGTTGTTTGGAGTTATATGAAGGAGCAACATAAAGGTTTATTGGTGGAAGAATGGGTTTGGGTGGTTTGGGAAAATTTTTAAGGTTTTGGAAAGGGTGGGGCGGGGTTGGGGGAAAATTTGGGGGTTTTGGGTGGCATGGGAGGGAGGAAGGTTAGGGAGGATGGATTTTAAGGTGTGGAAGGTGGATATGTTTATTAATTGGGGTTTTTTTGTGCAGGATGGAGAAAGGTTGGTAAGGAGAAAGGTTTTGGAACTGAAAAGGGTTTGGGGGAGGGCAAAGGATTAGGAAAGGAGGAAGGTGGATGGTGAGGAAAGGTGGATAGGGGTACGAGAAAGGATGGAATTTTATTGGGGTCTGGAAAGGGTGGGTTAAAAAATTTGGGGGCTGGTGATGGTGGTTGGGTGGATGGTTTAAAAATTTTTTGGCTTTTAGGAAAGGTAAGGGAATGATGGTGGTGGTGAAAAAGGTGGATTCTGGATGGGGGAATTGGGATTTAAAGGGTTTGGTTTTGGTGGGATGGTTGGTTGCTGGAAGGTGGAAGGTTGGGAGGCAGTAGGGTGGAAGGGATTAAAAAATGGAAAATTTAAATGGCTAATGTTAAAGGCGGTGGGAATGGTGGATAGGTTGGAGGGATGAAAGGGTTTCATTTGGGGATGGAGAGGTGTGGGAAAGGAAGGGATGGCTGTTTGAAAATTTCTGGCTTAATGAGGAAGGGTGGGAAGGCTTCCCGGAAAGGGTTCAAAATGGGAAGGGATTTATTGAAATTTGGATTTATGGGTGAGGCGTAAGGTTAATTCAGGAAAATGGGAAATTATTAATTTATGAAAAGGGGGTTTGGAGGTTCTTTGGGTGGGAGGAAGAATTGGGATTATGGAATTAGAGATTTAGTTTTTAGGAGGCTGGTGGAGGGAAGGGGAGTAAGAGGAAGGCGGGTTAAAAGGGGATATAAAGGCTGGGGGCAGTGCTGGCAGGGGTGGAAAGCAAGCTAGGAAGGGGAAAAAAGGGGCCTGGAAGGCTTTGGTCAAATTTGGAAAATGGAAGGGGCAGAAGGATTTTGGGGAAAAAGGTGGAAGCCCGGAATTTTCAACTTTTAAGGTAAATTATTATTTTAGGGATTTAAAATTAAAGGAATTCCGGGAGAAAGGAAAAAGTCGTTGCAAAAAAGCCCCCGCGATTTTTTAACCCCTTGTGAAAAACCCCCCCCCAGCAACCCCAAACCCCCCCCCTTTCCCTCCCCAATCCGGCCCTCTATCCAAGGAAAAGCTCCCACCCCCCCCCACCCTGTTTTTTGAAACCCCGTTTTTTCCCTCTGGGGAAAGGGGCCCCACAGGCAAATGAGGTTTAGAAACAAAACTAAGAAAACAGTTTTTTTTTTCCCCCCGGCCATTGCCGCCCTTTCCCAAATAAATCCGACCTGACTGACGGGAAAAACTTTTCAAACCCGGGTTTTCAATTTTTTCCCCCCCCCGGGCCCTTGCCCCCCCCTCAACTCCGACCTGCCCGGGCGGGCACTTTACAACCTTTTTTTCACTATCCCCCCCCCCCCCCAATCTGTCCAGTACTTTTTTTTAAAATTTCCTTTTTCCCCTGTTTTTCATTTTTCCTTTTTACCCGTTTTTCATTTCCTTTTATATATTTTTTATATATTTTTTTTTAACTGTTTTTCATTTCCTTTCCTTTTAATAAAATCTAAAAAATATTTTTTAAAATATTTTTTATTTTAATTTTTTTTTTCACGGGGAAGGGTGTTATGGAAGTCCCAAATCTCATTTATTTGTCAAAAAGAATATAATGCCCAAAAAACTTTTTTTCTTTTTGAAATTTTGACTTTGGGTGGATGGATGGAAGGAAAGGTTGGGATTTGGTGGGGTGAAAGGGTGGATGATGGATGGGGGATGGGGGATGTATGATGGATGGATGGTGGATGGATTTGGTGTTGGAAAGGGTGGATGGGGTGTGGAAAAGGAAAGGGTGGGGTGAGGGAAAGGTGGATGGAAAATGGTGGATTTGGGTGGATGAAATTGGGTGTTTTTTGGATAATATTTGGGTGTTGGATGATGGGTGGATGGATGGATGGGAAAAGGGGGGATGGATGGATAATGGTGGGTTTGGATGGGGTAAGATAGGGATGGGATGATGGATGGGGGGAAAGATGGTGGAAGGATGGTAGATTTGGGGGTTGGGTTGGAGGGGATTGGGTGATGGGTATGGAAAAAGGAGAAGGATTGGATGGGGTTTGGGTGGATAGATAGATGGGTGGAAAGATGGGTGATTTGGGTGGATTTATGGATGTTGGATGGAAAAGATGGTGGGGTTTGGGTGGATAGATTTAAAGGATGGGTGGATGGGATGGATAGATTTGGTTGGGAAATTGGATGGAAAAGGGGTGATGGGGTGTTTTGGATGATGGATGGTGGGGTGGATGAAAAGGAAAATGGATGGAAAAAATGAAAAGGGGAAAGGGTGGGTGGTTTGGAAGGGAAAATTTTGGGGTTTAGGGGTGGATTGGGTGGAGGGTGGAAGATGGGGGATGTTGGAAAGGATAAAATTTGGGGGTGTTTTGGGTGGATTGAGGGTGGAGGTGGGGTTTTTGGGGGTTTTTTGGATGGAGAAAGGATGGGGTTTGGGTGATGGGTTGGGGTTTGGGTGTGGTTTTGGGGGATGGATGGGTGGGGTTTGGGTGGATTTAAATTTGGGTGGAAAGGATGATGATGATGGTATGGGATGGGTGGATGAATGGAAAGGGTGGATGGAAAAGGAATGGTTGGTTTAAGGGATGATGGGTGGATGGATGGATGAAGGTAACTTTTTTTTTCCGTCCCCAAAAGGGCTAACCTTGGCCCGTAAATTTAATTGATTTTGGAACTGGGGTTTAGTTTTTTTTTATCAACCTTTGGGGGGCCCGCCCTTTCATTTTTCCCCTTTAAAAGGAAAGGGGGGTTTAAAATACAAAAACTTTTTAGCTTTTTTGGGGGGGAAAGGGGTTTGGGCCCCCCCTTCCATAATACCCTTTTAAAGCCAAAACGTAGGGGGGCAGAAATAAAACTGACAAATTTAAGGGTTCTTTCCCCAAACCCCGTTCAAAAAAAAGCCCCAGACACCCTCCCCCAAATTTCAAAGCACAAAATGCTTCCCCTTTTCTTATTTTTTTAAAAGGGGAAAAAATTTTCGGGTATTTTAAGGGTAAAAAAAACCGGTCCATTATGGGATTGACACGAATTTTTACCCCGGGCCATGGGTTTTTAAAGGCCCCCGGAAAAGGGACCCTACTGGGCTTTGCCTTCCTAAAAGGGGGCCCCCCCCAAACTCGCCCGGGGGTTTTCATTTTTCCGACCCCTCTGGTTTCCCGAATTTGAATTTTCCAGCCCTTTCAGCGTGAAAGTTATCTAGGTTTTTTGTTATGGTTTTTTAAAATTTCCCGAGTCATTTGTTAAACCCCCCAATTGTTTCAAATTTTAATCATTTTAAACAGCAGGGTTTGGGGCCAATTCATTTTTTTTAAAGAGGTTTTTTTTCCAATGAAGCTCAGAAAGAGGATTTTCCCCTGTAGAAAACATGTTTTTGTGTTTCAGATTGTTTTACCAATGCCCCCCGTTTCCATACGTGGGTTCCCCATCATCCTTCCCGGTCCGAGGAGTCACTCTTGGGCCCGGAGCCCCAAAGGTGGCATCATGTACTACATCAAAACCAACGGGGCCAAATGGGAGAAAGGGTCAGTTTAGTCCCCCCTGCTGGCAGCTTTGGGGCCCCCCAAAAAACTGCCAAAACATGAGTCCCGCCTTGAAAACCCTTGGGCTTTCAAATTTGAAGCATCTTACTTATCTTTATTTGTATTTTTTTAACACATAATCAGCTTTAAATTAATCTCAAATCTGAGAGGAAATAACAGAAAACTGTTTGGAAAACATTTCTGCTATTTTAGAAAATATTTCTCCATCATGGACTCCTAAACAAACAAATTCTGCAATATCCACTATTGGCTTTTAACTCAGCAAACTTCTCACCTGTGACCTCTGACCCTTTTCAGGGGGGAAATGCCGGCCCCCCCAATTTTTCTTTTTCCCACGCCCTCGGACTGGGAGCGCTGACTGCTTTAAAGCCAACCCAAACCCCTTTAACAATGACTGCTAAAAAGTAAAACACAGGGCTTAAAAAATTTGGGAAAACCCCCCTCTATTTTAGCCAAACCCATCTATCTCTATCCACCCATCTTAAACCTTTTTGTTAGAGAACCTTTAAAATACCCAGGGGGGAAACCCGCCAGAAAAAAAGAAGGGGGGTTTTATTTTTTAAGAACATTTATCAGCCCTAGTTCCAAAAAAAAAAAACACAGTCCCAAAAACCCTTTTCAATGTCCATAATCTTTCAAAAATTTATGTTTAAACCCCACCTGGGTTTTTTCCTCCAAATTCCCCTTCCCCACCAACCCTGACGATTTTTTGACCTGACATTTGAAAAATCTGGGAAAAACGCGGGGATAAAAATTAAGGATAAGTTTAGGGCAACCTAAGTAAACGCTGAAAATAAGCTGAAAACACTCCAGGAACACAAATTTAAGGGACCCTGAAAACACATGAAAACAACCGAGGGCACCTGAAACACCTAAGTGTCTAAAACCCGAATGGGAAAAAAACGCCTTTTTAAAAAACTGAAAATACGCGGAAAAAAAGCGAAACACCCCGGGAAAACGTCTGGGAAAAATGACTAAGCCCTGAAACACCTGAAGTTGTTGAAACCCTTCTGGGCACTCTGAAAAAAACCTGAAAAACACTGAAACCCTCCAAAACACGCTGAAGTATGCTGAAAAAAACCCCCTGAAAAAAACACTGAAAAAGGGTAAACAAAAACTGAAAACTTTTGAAAAACCACTGAAAAACTGAAGGGACTTGAAAACCAAAACGAAACACACTGAAAAACCCATCGGGAAAACCAATCGGAGGCCCCTTTTGAAACAGGGTTAACACAACTGAAAAAACGAAAAAACACTGAAAAAAGTCTGCAAAACACTGATGTTGCTGAAAACCCCCTGAAATGACAAAAAAACACTGAAAACGTCCCTGAAACATAAATGAACCCTGCTGAGGACTTTGAAAAACACCTGAAAGGGGACTTTTAAACAAACTGAGGGAACTCTTTTAAACATGCTGCAAACAACTGAAAAACCCTCCCGAAACAACTGAACCATGGGGGAGCAAATTTGAAAACACGCTGAAGTTCGTGAAAAAAAAGCAAAAAACACTGAAAAAAAACTGAAAAACACTGAAAACGTCTGGAACACGCTGGGTGAAAAGCGAAACACACTGAAATGACTGAAACACCCCCGAAAAAAGTCTTAAACAAACTGAACCATCGGGGCCCCTTTTAAAAGGGCGCCCGAAATAAAACTGGAACCTTTCCCGAGGAGCCTGAAAAAATTTTCGCCCGAAGTAAAACTTTAAAAAAACCCCTGAAAAAAACCTGAAAACCCCTGGGAAAAAAAAAAAGCTAAACACAACTGGGAAAAACGCTGAAACACCCCTGAACAAAGGGGCCCGAAAAAAACAAAAAACACTAAAAACGCTGAAAAAACACCCGAAAACCGGGCTGAAACACACTGAAAAAACAAATGAAAAAAATCTTTAAAACACGGAAAAAACACTGAAAAAAAACGCTGAAACACACTGAAAACCTTCGAAACAAAACCCCGAAAAAACAAAAATTGGGAAAAAAACCCCTGAAAAAAACACTGAAAACGTTTTGAAACACCCGAAACACTGAAAAAACGCGAAACCACTGAAAAACGGGCTGAAACCGCTTTAAAAAACTGAAAAACCCTGAAAATTTTTGAAAACCCCACCCGAAAAAAACTCTGAAACAAAACTGAAAAACACTGAAAAAAAAACCGAAAAAAACACTGAAAAAGCTGAACCCCCACTGAAAACGTCTTGAAAACAAAAAAAAAACTTTTCTGAGGGCCAAATTTTAAACACCTGAAGTACGCAAAAAAATCTGAAACACAACTGAAAAAAAAACTGAAACACACTGGAAAAAAAGTCCCGGAACAAAACGTGATTTTTGGGTGAAAAACCACTGAAAAAGACGAAAACACCTGAAAACGTCCCGAAAAAATACCGAAAACCAAAGCTGAGGGGGACTTTGAAACAAAACGCTGGAAGTAAGCTGGGAAAATGCGAGTAGCCTTAAACACGCGGAAAATATGGCCAAAAACACACTGAAATACACTGAAACACCGAAAAAAAACGAAACCCACTGAAAAAAACGCCCCAACACCCTGAACACGTCTGAAAAACAAAAAACAAATGAAAAAAAACCCGAAACCATGAAACACACTGAAAAACCCCCTTTTTAAACAAGGAACAACACTAAAAAAACGCTGGAAAAAACACTGAAAAACCGGCAAAAAACGCTGAAAAAAAACTGAAAAAAAGCTGAAACCCCCAACTGAAAAAAAGTCCCGAAACACGCTGAAAAACTGAAAACGCTGAAACCCCCAATTTGCTGAAAAAGCTGAAAAAAGCTTTAAAAACTGGGAAAAAAACGAAAAATTTCTGAAACACACTGAAAACGTTCTGAAAAAACACTGAAAAAACCCCTTTAAAATAAAAGCTTTAAAAACCCACTGAAAACGTCGGGAAACCCACTGAAAAACGCAAAAACAAAACACTTTAAACATCTGAGCCAAAACCCTGAAACAAAGCTGAAACACTGAAAAAAACTTAAACCCCAACTGAAAACGTCGAAACACTAAAAACACTGAAAAACGCTGAAACCACTGAAAACGTCCCGAAAAAACACTGAAAAAAAAGTCTGAAACACACTGAAAAAAGTCTGAAACAACCCCGGAAAAAACTGGGAAAAAAACCCTGAAACAAAACTGAAAACTCTGAAACCCCACAAAAAACCCGAAAAAAACAAATGAAAAACCCTGAAACAAAACTGAAAAAAACTGGAAAAACAAAACCCTGAAAGTAAAGCTGAAAAAAGCTAAAACACACGAAAACGGGCTGAAACCACTCTAAACGCTGAAACACACAGAAAACCAAAAGGGAAAAAATCGCTGGAAAATACGCCCTTTAAAAAAAAACGCGGGAAAAAACACTGAAAACAACTGAAACACGCGAAAGTACCGCTGAAAAAATGCTAAAACAAAATAAAAAAGTCTGAAAAACCAAAAGAAACAGCTGAGGCAATCCCGAAACAAAAATGAAAAACACTGAAAAAGCGCTTTAAAAAAACCCCTTTTAAAAAAGTCTTTAAACACACTGAAAAACATGAAAAAAAAAGCTTTAAACACAATGAAAATGTCCCGAAACAAAACTGAAAACCCTCCCGAAACACACTGAAAAAAAAGCAAACACAAATGAAAACGTCTGAAACAAAACTGAAAAAAAACTGAAACCGCTGAATTAAACCCCTTTAAAAAACCTGAAAAAAAACACTGAAAAAAAACTGAAACAAAGGGTGAAGTACGCGAAAAACCCAAAAAAACCCTGAAAAACAACTGAAACACCCTGAAGTACGGCCCCGAAAAATGGGGAAAAAAAAACGAAAAAATTCCCGAAACAACACTGAAACTTCTGAGGGAAACCCCGAAACAAAGGGTGGGAAAAAACTAAAAAAACCTTTTAAAAAACACTGAAAAAAAGTCGAAAAAACACTGAAAAAAAAGTGAAAAATGCCCGGAAACAAAAACAAAAATGTCCTAAACACACCCCGAAAACGTCGAAACACAAAAGCTAAAAACACTGAAAAAAAGCTGAAACACACCGAAAACGTCTGAAACTCCCTAAAAAAAACTGAAAAAAAAGCTGGAAAACACTGAAAACCTCCCGAAAACACAAATGAAAAAACCGAAACACACTGAAAAAGTTTTGAAAAACCCGAAACACGAAAAACCTGAAACACCCTGAAAACATCGAAACAACTGAAAAAAACAAAAAACACGCTGAATTTCCTAAAAACGCTGAAACACTGAAAACAAATTGAAACACGCGGAAAACACTAAAAGGGGCTTAAAAAACCTGAAAAAAGCGAAACACTGAAAAAAAAAAGCTGAAACCCCACGGGAAAACTCCCCGAAAAAACCCCCTGAAAAAAACTGAAACAAACGCTGAAGTAAAATGGGAAAAAAAAACTGAAACCCCACCCGAAAAAAGGGCTGAAAAAAACTGAAACAAGCTGAGGCCAACCCTGAAAAAACGCAAAAAAAACTGGGAAAAAACGCTTAAAAACAACTTTAAAACCGTCCGAAACAAAAAAAAACACTGAAAAAACGCTGAAACACACGGGAAAAAGTCTAAACCACTGAAAAACCCTCTGGAAACACGCTGGGAAACACTGAAAAAAAAGCTGAAAACCCCAAATGAAAACGTCCCGGAAAACAAAAACTGAAAACACTTAAAACGCTGAAACACACTGAAAAAGTCTGAAAAAAACGCAAAAAAACTGGAAAAAACCCCGAAACAACCCCGAAAAAAGTCGGGAAAAACCCCTGAAAAAAGTCTGAAACCCTTTAAAAAAAAGCTGAAAAACAAATGAAAAACCCCCTGAAACCCCCCTGAAACAAAATGAAAAAAAAAAAAGGGTGAAAAACTGAAAAAGTTGAAACACGCTAGAAACCTGAAAAAACCCGGGTGAAACCCCACTGAAAAAAAGTCCCCCAAAAAACGCAAAAAAAACTGAAAAACCTGAAAAAAAAACCCGAAAACGGGCTTAAAAAACCTGGGAAAAAAAATGAAAGAACCTGAAACACACGAAAACGTCTAAACAAAACGAAAAACGCTGAAAAACACTGAAAAAAGTCTGAAAAAAACACTGAAAACAAAAGAAAAAAAAGGGTGAAATTTCGCTGAAAAAAAAGCTGAAAAACCCTGAAAAACCAAAAATAAAAAACCGCTTTAATTAAAAGCCCCGGGAAAAAAAAAAAAAGCCAAAACCCCACTAAAAAAGGCCCTGGAAACAAAAACAAACACTCCCAAACAACCCTTTGGAAAAAAACGCGGGAAAAAAATGAAAAACGCCTAAACACCAAATGAAAACGTCGGAAACCCCACTGAAAAACCCTTTTTGAAAACCCCTGAAAAACGCCCCCCCCCCCGGGGAAAACACGGGAAAACGTCTGAAAAAACACTGAAAACAAAATAAAAAAAAGCTGGGAAAAAACACTGAAAACGGTCTGAAACACGCTGAAAAAACGAAAAACGGGTGGAAAACACCACCCCCAAAACTCTGAAACAAAGCTAAAACCACTGAAAAACACTGGGGAAAAACCTGAAAACCCTCTGAAAACCAAAGCCTTGGGAAAAACCCCGAAAGAACCGAAAAAAAACCTTTGGGAAAAATCTGAAAACAAAACGAAAAAAACCGGCTAAACCCCTGAAAAAAAGTCTAAACCACTGAAAAACAACTGAAACCCTGAAATAAAAAAGCTGAAAAAAAGCGGGAAAAACCCCCATGAAAACAACTGAAACACCTGAAGGGAAAAACTTAAAAACGCCCCAAAAACCCCCCTGAAAACTCTGAAACACACTTAAACATGCTGAGGGCACCCTGAAAAAAACGCTGAAAACACTTTAAAAAAACCCCCCTAAAAACACTGAAAACTCTGAAACACGAAAAAAAGCTGAAACACCCTGAAAAAAGCTGAAACAAAACTTTAAAACGCTGAAACAAGCTTGGGAAAAACTGAAAAACGCTGAAACACACTGAAAACGTCTGAAACACACTGAAACACTGAAAAACGCTGAAACACACTGAAAACGTCTGAAACACACTGAAACACTGAAAAACGCTGAAACACACTGAAAACGTCTGAAACACGCTGAAACACTGAAAAACGCTGAAACACACTGAAAACGTCTGAAACACACTGAAACACTGAAAAACGCTGAAACACACTGAAAACGTCTGAAACACACTGAAAACGTCTGAAACACGCTAAAACACTGAAAAACGCTGAAACACACTGAAAACGTCTGAAACACACTGAAAACGTCTGAAACACACTGAAAACAACTGAAACACGCTGAAGTACGCTGAAAAACACTGAAACTTTTTGAAACACACTGAAACATGCTGAAGTATGCTGAAACAAGTTAAAGCACGCTAAAGTATGTTAAAACACAATGAAACACGCTGAAAGATACTGAAGTACGCTGAAACACGCTGAAGTACATAAGTTCTGGACTCGTTATGAATACTCTGTATTTGCCTAAAATTTAAAAAATACATAGAAAGTTCAGCGTATGCCAGATTTTTAGGAGATTCTGGGACGTCAGGCATAAGCTGGCTAAATCTGCAAGGTGTGACATGAGCCTCAGGTTTACATTCTGACAGCCGTCTCCTCCCCCTTCTGCAGGGACGCCTTCGTCCTGGCTCTCATTAACAGTGGGACCAGTTTCTTTGCTGGTTTTGTGGTGTTTTCCATTCTGGGCTTCATGGCGGCTGAGCAGGGAGTTGACATCTCACAGGTTGCTGAATCAGGTAACGACTCGCTCATCTAAAGCTTTATCATTAAACCAAAGTTTTCCACACAAAAGAGCAGCAAGGGAATAAAGTTTTTTAAGATTTGTGATAAAAACTAGAATTTCAACTACCACTATTAAAACTACTATTATTCATCAGCAGGTTTTAACATTCTGGGTAATTTTGGTGTTTATGAACTGTTTCGCCATACTTGATAAAAATAAAAGTTTTTTTCGTGCAGCAATAATGATCAGAGCTTGATCTCTGTTCTTTGCATCCTACATCAGTGCATTGCAACGGGTACATGAAAATATTTCAATTAATTTCAGTTTAATTCTATAGCGCCAGTTAACAGCACGTCATTTCAAGGCACTTTCAGTCAGATTGATTCAAAGTTTTCTGTCTAAGGAAAACCAGCTGATTGCATCGACTCATTGACTCTTCCGCAATCCCTCACACTAAGCATGCTTGTAGCGACAGTGGAGAGGAAAAACTCCCTTTGAACAGGAAGAAACCTCCAGCAGAACCAGACTCAGTGTGAGCGGCCATCTGCTGAGGCCCACTGGGGTTCAAGGAGACAGAAGCAGACATAGAAAAGTTCATTGTTCTTGTCAGACAAAGGGAATCACTATTTAACTGACACTCATGGGGGGATTTACAATTGGGGGCCCCATAAAACTCTGTTTCCATGTATGGTTAATACAACTATTCCTTATTTGTGCACATTAATTATGTTTTTGATAAAAATCCTTTGGCTAAAATGCCATCAGAACGCTGATAATATTAAGTGTGTCTCAGCCCCCCCCCCTTCAGTGTCCACCATATTGGATCAGTCCATTTGCTGCACATGTTCAGAAAGGTCCAAACAGACAGCAGCAAACCATTTGAAAACAAACCATGCAAAGAGCAGTGTTGCCAACTTAGCGCTTTAGTCGCTATATTTAGCCACTTTTCAGACCCCTCTAGCACTTTGATTTCTAAAAAGCAAGAAGAACAAAAGTTAATCCATTTAATTAAGGATAGTTTAAAGTATTAACCTGAGTCTGTGTTGGAATATGTAGATAGATAGATAGATAGATAGATAGATAGATAGATAGATAGATAGATAGATAGATAGATAGATAGATAGATAGATAGATAGATAGATAGATAGATAGATAGATAGATAGATATTATTACAGATTCGTAGTCCAGATCAAATAAAAACATAAGAAGAATAAGTACATAAAAAAAGAATAATGCTACGTTCAGAGCGCACGCAGCCAAAGCTGCAAAAACGCACGGCTGAAGCATCTTTGCTGCTCTAGCTGCACGGTTGATAAGTGGGTCTGATGCGCGGTGGGCGGAGCTACCCTATCCTTTCTTTGCCTGGAACAATGGCAGCTATATTAGCTGTGATCAGCGGGTAGAAAGTAGTTAGAATCTATGTTGAAGTGAGAAAGTCCTCCTGAAAACATGGTCTGTGCAGTCAGTTCATCCAGATTACCATCCTGACTTCAAAGAGCCGCTCAGACCCCCACATACCGGCGCTGCGCTGTCCCTGGGAATCCCCAGCAGCAGCTGCCTCAGGCCCGCTCGCCAGGCTTATTCATGATAAGGCCTAATTATGGTATTATTACTAATTATGGATCAGCTGCTCCTGACAGTGCCTAAAGCAAGGCTTAAGCTCAGAGGGGATCGAGCGTTTTCTGTTGCAGCTCCAAAACTCTGGAATGCATTGCCGCTGCACATTAGACAGGCCACCTCTCTGTCTCATTTTAAAACTCTTCTTAAAACCCACCTCTTTTCTTTGGCTTTTAACACCATGTAGAGTGTTGATTTTATGTACACATGTTGATTTTATGTACACATGTTGATTTTATGTATACACATGCATATTTTTATCCTGTGCGGGCAGTGCTTTTATTTTATTTTATTTTATTACTTTTATTTATTTTAGTTATTTTATCTTTTTGTGCAGCACTTTGGAAACCTTGTGTTTATTTAAACCGTGCTATATAAATAAAGTGGATTGGATTGGATTGGATTAATTTTATAATAAGTACATAGAGGTTGATCCATCCAGACAGAGTTTATACAAACTTAAATTTCTTTTTGTAAAGCTTTTATGACATTTCCATTTCTTAAAGTGCAGCAGTGATCAAATGTAAACAGTGTGGGAGAAAAACATGATGTGAAATAAACGCATTGATAAGGTTGGTTTGATGCAGAGTCTGTGACGTGATTTAGAGTTTTCTCAGCAGTTCATCAGTCTGATGGCGGTGGGGAAGAAGCTGTTGCAGAACCTGCTGGTCCTGCATTGAATGCTGTGAAGCCTCTTCCCACTAACCTGACTCCGCCAGATGGATTTGCTCCGCATATCCATCTGGAAACCTTCCGTTGAAGTAATTTTGGGAAGGGGCGAAAATACTGGTTAGCTGATTGGCCTATGTTGGTGATAGACGGGCCAAATAAACCAATCAGATCTACGAAGCATATGACGTACTAACAGAGCGACGACGAAGAGGAGCCAATTGATAGATCAAACTCTTGCTGAAACCAGTGGGGAGAAGAGCAAAAACATCTTTTCCTCTGAGAAAAGCCTCCAGAGCAGTGTTTTGCTCTTCTTTCAGTGAAGAAATACTCTGTAATTCTGATAAAACTTGCTCGATAGCCACGCTAACGCTAGTTTCATCGGCTGAAGCCGCCATGTTTTTTAGACTGAACTGTCGCACTTCTTGTTGCGTCACACCTCAACCCGCCTCAAAGCCAACGCTGATTAGACGTTCGTTTGGTGAACGGCTCCAAATTTTCTTCAACGGAGAGTCTCCAGACTGATTAGCGAGTTAGACCTTGAAAGCTCGCGAGATCAGGATGGTCTCACGAGGCTACCTTCCCAGAGGGCAGCAGGGAGAACAGTCCATGGTGGGGGGGTGAGGTAGTGAGGCATTAGGCATTATAACCAGCTAGTTTTTTAACAGAGAAAGAAGGCCTCTCATATGTTTATGATTTAAAAAGGAAACAGGAAATCTGTGAGGCTGTTAATTTATGCTAATTGATGTTAAAGGATGTGGTAAATGAAGCCAGTATGAATGAGCGAAGACTCAGAGCTTCTGCAGAACACTGAGTCCATTCCTCTTTGTCTTCCAGGTCCAGGTCTGGCCTTCATTGCATATCCTAAGGCGGTCAGTCTGATGCCGGTAGCTCCACTCTGGGCCGCTCTCTTTTTCTTCATGTTGTTGCTGCTTGGACTCGACAGTCAGGTGAGCCAAAAACAATGCATCCTATCTCTAAACCTACATCCTCAAAGCCTCTAGTTTTTTATTTAATTATTTATGTGGGATTGTTGGTATTGTAATTTTAAACATGTTTTCCTGTATACTACACCATGCACCATCAGGCTGAAAGTTGACCCAAACAAAAAATTCTCCCACAACTGGAGAAATGACCCGAAAAGAGCAAAAAATTATGCTGGACTTAATTGAAATGTCAGCCAGAATCTTCTCCCCAATCCCGAGGTACTGGGATCAATCCTCACATGATGACAGACTTAATCTGAGAACTTTCCTAATCTGCCCAAAGCACCGTGTAGATGGCCGAGCGGGATTATCCCAGAAGGATATTTGATGAAATGCTGAAGGGCAGATACCCGACGATGCCTTCAGGCTCTAACGGTCGGGCTGTTTTTGTGTCCCCACAGTTTGTCGGCGTAGAGGGCTTCGTCACGGGGATTCTGGATCTGTTTCCCGGCGGTTATTACCACCGATACAAACGTGAGATCGCCGTGGCGATCTGCTGTTTACTCTGCTTCGTTATCGACCTCTCCATGGTGACACAGGTCAGCAGGAAAACTTTTCAAACCAGGAGGCCAGGTATTATTTTCAGCGTATGATTTCTCCTGATAAACACGGAGCTGTTTGTCTCTGCAGGGAGGAATGTACGTCTTCCAGTTGTTTGACTACTACTCAGCCAGCGGGATGACGCTGCTGTGGCAGTCATTCTGGGAATGCATTGTGGTTGCCTGGGTCTATGGTATGACACACACACACACACACACACACACACACACACACACACACACACTGTGGTGTAATATTGCAGGGTGGAGCAGCTCTGAGGGATCCTAAAATAAGATGTAAGATCAGATCTGAACTCCAAGTAAAGGTCAAAGTTCAGACCCTTCAGTTTTAATTTGGCCGTTTTCTTCAGGGTTTTGTTCGTCAATAATTCTTGACTTTTCTAGATTTAGTGTTTTTTTTTTTAAATGGGTCCTCATTGAATTATTTTTGACTTAAATTCTTCAGGCACATTGAGAAAAAAATTATTAAGTGTATTTACCCTTAATTTGAGAAGGCAAATAAGTAGATTTGCCACTGGAATGAGTATTTTAGACTCTTAAAATAAGATTATTAGATAATATGCACTTGAAATAAGACAATGCAATAGTTTTTTTCTTTTATTCTAAATGTAAATTCTCTTTTCCATCGGCAAATTGTCTCACTTACCTCCCTAATTCAAGACAAAATGCATTTATTTTAAGAAAAAAATACTTATCTAGATTTCTACTTTGCAATGAAAATGTCTCACACCCCACTGGAAAAAAATCAAAATCTAGATAAATCATTTTTTCTTAAAATAAGTGCATTTCTTCTTAAATTGAGGAGATGAAAGAGACATTTTACCAATGGAACAAGACAATTTAGATTTAAAATAAGAAAACACAATTGCATCTTCTTATTTCAAGTGCATTTCATCTAATTATCTTTTTTTAAGGGTAAAAATACTCATTCCAATGGCATATTATCAAATTTACCTATTCAAATCAAGGGTAAATACACTTAATTTAATACATTTTTACTTATTTCTAGATCATTTTTGCAGTGAGGGAGTTGGGGTTCAAGTTGCTGATGCCTCACAGACACACCGATTGCCTTATAAACCCACAGCAGGTCTACAGACTGCTGATTATTTCTAAGCTGAACATGAGCAGGTTTAGTGATTCACATCCTGTCCTCATATCCTGGGGGGGGGCGGGTTCTGTTATTTTCAGCGTCACTGAATGCAGCTAGTGGTTATCTCTGACCTTGTTAACGGACCTATTCAGTTATCAGTGTTTGGGCTGCATTCAAGCAGTGACTTCTAGACAATGTGGCAGGTTGGTGACAGAGGTGTAACTCAGAGTGTCATCAGTGTAGAATAGAAATACCCTCATTTTCAGAGCAAACACTGGAAAAAATACAAATCTAGATACTGTAAGTCATTTTTTCTTAAAATAAGTGCATTTGTTCTGTGGTTGGGGAGGTAAAAGAGACATTTCGCCAATGGAACACGATGATATCACTGTACTTTTCAGTAAAGATAACTTTAAACTAGTCTTAACTTTATAGAAATACACTCTATACATTGCTAATGTGGTAAATGACTATTCTAGCTGCTAATGTCTGGTTTTTGGTGCAATATCTACATACTGTAGGTGTATAGAGGCCCATTTCCAGCAACTATCACTCCAGTGTTCTAATGGTACAATGTGTTTCCTCATTGGCTCAGAAGGCTAATTGATGATTAGAAAACCCTTGTGCAATCATGTTCACACATCTGAAAACAGTTTAGCTCGTTACAGAAGCTACAAAACTGACCTTTCTTTGAGCAGATTGAGTTTCTGGAGCATCACATTTGTTGGGTCAATTAAACGCTCAAAATGGCCAGAAAAAGAAAACTTTCATCTGAAACTCGACAGTCTATTCTTGTTCTTAGAAAAGAAGGCTATTCCATGCGAGAACATTTCCTACAATGGTGTGTACTACACTGGAAAAAATCTAAATCTAGATAAATATTTTTTTTTTTCTTAAAATAAGTGCTTTTTATCTTGAATTGAGGAGGTAAGTGAGACACTTTGCCAATGGAACAAGACAATTTACATTTAAAATAGGAAAACACAATTGCATTGTCTTATTTCAAGTGCATATCATCTAAATATCTAATTTTAAGAGTAAAAATACTCATTCCATTGGCAAATTATCTCATTTATCTGCTCAAATGAAGAGTAAATGCAGTTAATTTAAGACATTTTTGCTCATTTTTAGATCATTTTTCCAATGTACTCCCTCCAGAGGAAAAGTACATTTCTGAATAGAACACTGCAGTTTATAGAAGATGAAATATTGAGAACTAATAGAAAATGATTAAATTTAAAAGAACAGCAGCCCATTTACAGATAAAAGCTGACAGCATTGCAAACTCCAGACCTGTTTGAACAGCAGTGAGCATAAAAATCTAACAGCAGCTGGGAGGAAGGATCTGCAGAGGCGCTGCTTTGTGCACAGAAGCTGCAACAGCTTCAGACTGAAGGTATAGAATAAAATTCACCTTTACAAGTACAAAGCAATGGAATGAACTCTCTGCATTTAACTCGTCCCTTTGGGGAGCCGTGGGCTGCTATTGTGCGGCGCCCGGGGAGCAGTGTGGTGTTAAGGGTCTCAGGGACCCAGAGTGGCAGTGTGTGGGAGTGGGGCTTGAACTCAGAACCTCTGGGATCCAAGCGCAGTGCCTTAACCACTAGGCCACCACTCCCCCAGCTTCATGCATGGAATGGGAAACAGTGTCCTCCACCATCTGGGACAGAGCTCGACTTCTTCATGATATTTATCCAGTTTCTCTCAGCTGCAGATGCTCCAACATGCAGCACCACAGAGGAAGGATGTAACAGATGTAGATATCGGCTAGCAAGCTGCTGGCTAGTTCAAGTGATTAGTCAACCGTCCTGCATGAGGGAGGCCTGGGTTTGTATCCCAGCTGTCCTTAGGCAGGACCCTTCATGCTAATGCCGCGTCGGGGAGAGGCAGCCTAGTGGTTGGAATCCTGAGCTTCTGAGGAACCTGCCAGTCTGGGTCCCTAGCAATGGACCTTAACGGCGGGCGCCGCACAATGCAGAGAGATCATTTCGTTGCTCTGGACTTGTAACAGTGTGTAATAAAAAACGATGGAGACATTTTAGTCAAACAAGGCTGAAAACAGAGTCTGGGGGAACCCAACAAGTGCCTGAAGTTTAAAACTGACCATCCAGAGGAACTTTGGCAGCTAAAATGATTTCGTTTTGTTGTGTCTGTAGGTGCTGACCGGTTCATGGATGATGTGGCTCGGATGATTGGCTACCGCCCGTTTCCCTGGATGAAGTGGTGCTGGTCTTTCATAACTCCGTGTGTCTGCATGGTGAGACCTTCACAGCTTTCTGTCCCTCCTTAGTTCCTTTTTACAGCTCTGCTGACCTGAGTCCTCTGACACTCCAGGGCATCTTCCTGTTTCACCTGGTGAACTGCAAGCCTTTAACCTACAACAACGTGTACGTGTACCCGTGGTGGGGCGAGGCCATCGGCTGGTGTCTGGCTCTGTCTTCCATGCTCTGCATCCCCGTCAGTCTCCTCTACAAGCTCTTCCGAGCTAAAGGAACCTTCAGAGAGGTCAGCCTCCGTCCACACTAACAGCTCTGGGTCCTGTTGGACACGTGTTCATGAACGCCAACTGTTCTGGAATCAATTGGAGAAAGTTAGGATCAATCTGGCAGCAGATTCAGTCTGTCGAACTGGATTAAAACCTCTTCTGCTTCAGTTGATCTGTTGGTTTGATTTTCTGTTGTTAATCTACAAAGATGGAAAATGTTTTCCTTCTGAATCTACACAGAAAAAGAATCGAAATAAAACCAAATTGGTAAGATTTCTGATCTGATTGAGGTTTAATGTCATCATCATAAGCTGGGTTATAGATCCTGAATGAAGTTTCTCCACAGTGATTCTAGCTTTGATGACGGTTCTAGATCCAGAAACATCTGAAAAAACTGAGTTTTTATGGCTGTTCAGATTGGAAATCTTCCACAACTCAATGATCTCATGATTTTCCGGTCTGGATGTTCTGATCTAGATATTCCGAGGTAGATGTTCTGATCTGGATGTTCAGATCTAGATGTTCAGATCTAGATATTCTGATCTTGATGTTCAGATCTAGATATTCTGATCTGGATGTTTAGATCTAGATGTTCTGATCTGGATGTTCAGATCTAGATGTTCCGATCTAGATGTTCCGATCTAGATGTTCTGATCTAGATATTCCGATCTAGATATTCTGATCTAGATGTTCCAATCTAGATGTTCCGATCTAGATATTCTGATCTAGATGTTCTGTTCTTGATGATTTGATCTGGATGTTCTAATCTAGATATTCTGATCTAGATGTTCTGATCTTGATGATTTGATCTGGATGTTCTGATCTAGATGTTCCGATCTAGATATTCCGATCTAGATATTCTGATCTGGATGTTCTGATCTAGATGTTCCGATCTAGATATTCCGATCTAGATATTCTGATCTAGATGTTCTGATCTGGATGTTCTGATCTAGATGTTCTGATCTAGATGATTTGATCTGGATGTTCTAATCTAGATATTCTGATCTAGATGATTTGATCTGGATGTTCTGATCTAGATGTTCTGATCTGGATGTTCTGATCTAGATATTCCGATCTAGATATTCTGATATAGATGTTCTGATCTGGATGTTCAGATCTAGATGTTCTGATCTAGATGTTCTGATCTGGATGTTCTACACTAGATATTCCGATCTAGATATTCTGATCTAGATTTTCTTAACTAGATATTCTTATCTAGATGTTCTGATCTAGATATTCTGATCTTGATGTTCAGATCTAGATATTCTGATCTGGATGTTTAGATCTAGATGTTCTGATCTGGATGTTTAGATCTAGATGTTCCGATCTAGATGTTCTGATCTAGATATTCCGATCTAGATATTCTGATCTAGATGTTCCAATCTAGATGTTCCGATCTAGATATTCTGATCTAGATGTTCTGATCTTGATGATTTGATCTGGATGTTCTGATCTAGATGTTCCGATCTAGATATTCCGATCTAGATATTCTGATCTAGATGTTCTGATCTAGATGTTCCGATCTAGATATTCCGATCTAGATATTCTGATCTGGATGTTCTGATCTAGATGTTCCGATCTAGATATTACGATCTAGATATTCTGATCTGGATGTTCCGATCTAGATGTTCTGATCTAGATGTTCTGATCTAGATGATTTGATCTGGATGTTCTAATCTAGATATTCTGATCTAGATGATTTGATCTGGATGTTCTGATCTAGATGTTCTGATCTGGATGTTCTGATCTAGATATTCCGATCTAGATATTCTGATATAGATGTTCTGATCTGGATGTTCAGATCTAGATGTTCTGATCTAGATGCTCTGATCTAGATGTTCTGATCTGGATGTTCTACACTAGATATTCCGATCTAGATATTCTGATCTAGATGTTCTTAACTAGATATTCTTATCTAGATGTTCTGATCTAGATATTCCGATCTAGATGTTCTGATCTAGATATTCTGATCTAGATGTTCTGATCTTTGTCATGAATTAAAATGCACAGGAAGTTTTTGGAGGTTTGTCTGAAGTTTCCAGGGTTCTAACGTTCTGATGAAGTTGCACCTGTGTGTTTCAGCGCTGGGCCCACCTGACCAACCCTGTGTGGGGGCCCCACCACCTGGAGTACATGGCCCCTGACATCAAGTCCCTGAGTTCGCTGAGCCCCGGCTCTGATGACAACAAGGTCATCATCTTTGAGAGCGTCATGTAGACCAGACTCCGCCCATCCCACTGAGACAAGATGGCCGACCTGCATCTCCACCTTCGCCTCCTGTTCCTGGCATCTTAAATCAGCTGGACTCTGATTGGTCACCATAGCAACCATAGCTTTACACTCCCCTCTCCCAGATTCCTCTGGTGAGCGCTGCTGAAAGTTCTGCCTCTGTCCGGACTCCGTCTTCCTGTGAGGGTGACAGGTTCAGTTCAGTTTTGGGTCGCATGGTCGGCCGGGTCAAACCAGAACCCGATAAACAGTCATGATGGACTCTCTGTCTGCGGGATCCTCCGGTATCAGATCCTTCAGCGGGCAGAGTTTGGATCATTGCTGATTGTCGGGACAGACAGAGTTCTAGACAAACGCCTCGACTGAATCCCCTCAACGTTCGTCAGCGGTCCAGTCCAGAGCTCAGACACCAGAACTGGGTTTGGAAAAGTTTTAGTTTTTTTCTGGTGTTTGGCTGCAGGACCGAAGCAGAAACCTCCTGAACCGTCCCTGAATGCACCACACCGGCTGAACGCGTACCTGCGTGTCAAGGAGCGCTGCTCGCTTCCCGTCGAACAGCTGATCCCAGAACAGATACCGGACCAGAACCAACGATGTGTCCAGGAACCTCTTTTTTTAAAAAGATAACTTTTTTTGGAGTTTTTATTTGAAGCTTGTTGGTCCTTCAAAATATTTTCTAGATTTATTTTTTACCCAACAAATTTTTTTCCATTGATTTATTTTTGATAGTAAATACATGAAAACAAGCAGAAAATCCAAAATCTTCTATTAGCTTAAAGGAGGGGTGCTGCCCACGGGCACCAAGGGGCCCCTGGGGGCCACGTATGGTGCCCTCAGCGTCTTCTGAAAAAAGCACAACTCACTAAGTTTGAAGTTTTGTATTATTTTCCTGGTCTTCTTTTTTGGATCTATAGAGATTTCAAAATGACAAAATCTGAAAGAAAATTACAGACTGAAGGAAACATAAAAAATATGTTGATTATGCATGAAATTCATCATCTCAGCAGGTTCTGGTCTGGGATCCGATCGGGTCAGATGTTCTACTGTATTACTGCCTATCCTCGTTTATTTGGAGTGCCAAAAGGTTGATGTCCGTCCTGATCTGAGAACAGGGTTGCAGGCTGCCAATGATCCTTTCGGACTCTGCCTCATCGACCCTCCGGTCCTCTCCTCGACCCCGCCTCTGTCGGTTCCGCTCAGGTTTTGTTCCCTTTCGAGAACGGTTCTGTTCATCAGAACCAGAAACGTTTCATATGACGATTCTCTGCTTTTCAGGCAGAGGTCCTCTGCAGCCCCAGAATAAGAACCGTTTAGGTCCGAACGTTGCTGAGCTGCAGCCGGATGGGCGGGGACATCCGATGAGAGCCGGAAGACTCGATGCGCCGCCAAGTGTTGCCTTAAGTCGCTGTCTTAACCTCTCAGAGCCGAAACCATCGTCTAGCCAAAGTCTGAGCACCCTACGGGACGTCCTGTGCAAAGTCGGCAGCCTGTCTACAACTCTGTCTCCTAGCAACCACTTAGCATCCCGCCATCAGTGGGAAAAACATGGGTTAGAATGTAGGGAAACCACATCCGTTTGCACATTGCTGTGAAAAAATCTCGCTCGCACTTTCAAAAGAATTAATAGAAGAAATCCTTTTTTTTATTTATTTTCTACAGGCTTTTATTTTGCTAATAGATATAAAAAAAATCTATATATTGGTTACCTTTGGTAAGCTATATTTGATGCAGTATTTTACTGGAGTGATGATAATGATGATGATGATGATGATGTTTGCTCACTTTCATTTGGCAAAACACCAGCAATGCTTCATCCAACCCTTTCAGGCCTACCTCATTTCCCATTTGGATTTTCAAAATAAAACACCCCAAATCTCTTTTTATAATAAACGCTATCGGCAGCTGTCGGATCAGTTTTTCTGTTCTGACAGATTTCTTTAATCCGATGCTGCCCCGCCTTCTGGTCGCTGTCCGATCGACTGGCGTGAGCAAATCGTAAAGGCCAGTGCTTTTATTCTGGCGGGTTCGCTGCAATGCAAGTTTGGGGAAACAGTTTGTCCTTTTATTTGAATGTTCCAAGTGCTAAAGTGTTTTTAAGAGTTTTAGCTTCCAAAAGATTTTCTGTGTTTTCTCCCTCCGACTTCCCAAGGCTCACCTTCTTAAAATGATGTTGGGTTAGTTTTCACTCCAAGAAAGTTAAAAAACAATCCACTGGACTTTGTTTCCAAGTTTGAAGACGTTTCTCTTCCATCCAGGAAGATTTTTCAATTCAAATTGTCAGAAATAGCATTGAGTTCCAGGTTTTATCCAGCTGTTCTTTCGGTTCAATTTACATGTTTGCAAAGCCAAAACAAGGCTTTATTTTTGCAACCTTTTTGCAATGACTATGACCTGGATGACTGAGAATCTTCACCAGCGTTAGTTTTCACTTTGTGGAAGAATTTAGTCAGAGACAGAAACAGTCTAACAGAGCTGCTTAAAGTGGCTCAAACTCCTCTGAATGATACCTGGAGCAGTAAAAGAATTAAAATAATCGGTCCAAAGCCAAATCTGGCTTCATCGAGATACTTAAGTGTAGATTGGATGCAAGTTGGATGGTTGTTCAAAGTTAAAAAGACAAAAGTTTATGGATGAAGCACAGACCTCTACTTCGAAGACAAAAACATTAGTGAACTAATTGATTATCAGTTTATTAAACCATCGTTTTTACTGATCCTACTAAAAGTAGTCATTACAAAATAATAAACTGAAACGTGGAGATGTTTGGCTTCCAGCATGGTTGATCTTCAACCAAATAATACTTTCATTGTAAACATGATTGGAAATTCTGATTGAGATTATTTTAATGTGAATATATTTGATAAAATCCTGAGAGATCAGAGATGATCTGAGGCAGTACATTTATAATTCAAATTCTAAATGATGTGTACTTTTTAAAAAGAAGAAAAATTATTAAATCAAGGGTGAATTCTAGGGATGCACGATATAATCGGCCCCCTATCGGTATCAGCCTTAAAACTGAATATCGGACATCGGCCACCCCACCGATATTTAACCCGATATTTGTTCAGCTTCTGAGTTTCTAAAGTCTAAAAAAAAAAAAAATACTACTTCTTCTTCTTCCTCAAAAACTTATTTTTTACAGACTTAAAAACTTCTAAAGACGAGGGAAAAAATATTGATACATTAAAATATCCCAATATCTTCATATGCTGATATATTGCCATTTAAAAACACCATATCAATCTCTTTCACTAATGAAATATTGCTATATGTCATCGTTATGCTACGAAATCCCCCGAAACTTCACCAAATGTTGCCATATTTTTATATGTTGATATATTGACGCGGTATCGATCTATTTTACTGACAAAATCTCACAAGAATTTGCAAAATATCACGAGAGTTTGTAACAGAACGATAAATTTCACAAGATTTTGAAAGTAAAATAGATCGATACCGCGTTTTTAAAAATCTATTTGATATCAGTATATGAAAATATATTTGAGTATATTATTTTTCAAAGTGTCAGAAATGGATAACAAAACTGCTATTTTCAATGACTACTTATTTTTGTCCAGCTTTAACATCGGTATCGATATCGGTTATCGGCTACATGAGTTTTAAAATATCGGCATATCTGATATCGGCCAAAATCCCAATATCGTGCATCCCTAGTGAATTCTTAAGGACGGCCACTAACATCTACGAGTCTCTGCATAAATTCACTTTCCTTTCCAGCACTGATGCTTGAAGGAAACATAAATCAGATTAGTTCAGTGATTCAGGATAAAAATGATTTTCATCTTTGTTTTTCATGTAAAGTAGGACGTCGTCTGCACAGAAACATAGAAAACCTATTTTGGAACTGAATAAATTCAAATTTACACAGATTTTTTTCTTCAACATTCAAATAGGATCAATATTTTTTAGGGTTTCCTCCAGAATAAACCTCCAAGGAATTACTGCAAAAATATTTTTAAAGACGTATCTTTATCCAGTACAGTGATCGTTTTCTGAACGTCTGAGAGTTCAGCTATCTTTAAACCATAAATTAATATAAACAAATTAAGCCTTAAAATAGCAACAAGAGGAAAAGGTTTAAGTTGGTAGTTTTAAATAGTAGTATTTTTTTTTTTTTATAGCGTCGGTTCGTGCCTCGATGTAGATCCAGATTAAAACCCAGATGAACAGGAGATACTTCACTGATCCGACTAACCTGCTGCACAGTAATGTGTGTTTTTTAACTGTCGGTTATAAATTTAAACATTTAGATGTTTAAAGTCGATTCTGTTTAATTTTTCCTCTGCTTGTTTCTCCAGACGTGAGCCTAGAAGACTTTAAATCTTCAGCCGTGTTGAACTAAAGAGGAAAATGTTCCTCATACATGTAGATGTTCGATGTCTTTCTATCTTCTTGGTCCTCTGTTATAAAAAAAAATAAATAAATAAAAACAGGTGACAGAATCTGTCATGGAGACCTTAGAGGACGTCATCGGCTGGGATTCAAAGTCTCTGGAGGCTCAAACCGCTAAAAAAAAAAATGGGTCGGCATCAAATGAAGCTACTGGTTATGGAGACAGACTCTGGACTTTTATTTTGTAAATCATTTCGCACAAACTTTTTCAAATTAGAGGAACTTTGGAAAGTTCCTGGAAACTCATTGGCTGAATTCCTATTTATGGGCTGCATCTTCCAAGTCTGTGAAAATAAGGAAACCAGAAGAGTTCTGGATGTGAATTCAAACAGGTCCAGCCTTTCGCGGCTTTTATCGCTGTACACTCTGTCGCCTAGCAACAGTAAGAGTTGACGCAAAAAGCAGGAAAAGAATGAATACCGAACTTTAAAAACGGTTTCTTTTCAATCTTTTTTTTTTTTTTTTTGCAATGTGATCAGAGACTCCACTCCGGAGAATAGAGAGTGAAATAAAGGTAAAAATCACCCGGAGCAGGAACAAATAAAAGTAAATCTAATGATACAAAGAATGTATGTAAAAAAATATATATCTGCAAAATTTTCAACAAGAAAAAATACTTAAAGTCGTAGGGAAGTCATTTTAGAATGTCAAATTATTCTGGCTTAAACATTTATATAAATGTACTCTTTATCAGACAATATTGTCCAAAACTTAGAAAATTAAAATATATTTTTTAAATCCTGTCTTAAAATCTATGTTTTCATTGTTATCTTCTGCAGGCCAGTTAGTTCTACGTCAGCCTGAACACCTAAATTCGGCCAATCATATATCAACGGTCATCTGTCAATCAAATGTTTTCGGTCATAGCATCTTGATTCATATGTCGCAGCTAATATACGCAACGGTTGAAATCAGAATCCTTTCCTTTCCCATTGAGTTGCGTCCCAGTGTTCACGGGGATGGACGTCTGTGTCTTCAGCAGGCGTAGAGCTAACAGAACTGGCAGCGTTGCGAGGCAAGGGCTCAAACATGTACGGCTGGAAGCCTTCTACACCAAACCAAGCTTCTGCCGCCCTGGCGTCCTCTTCCACAACATCTTCGTCCCCGCTTTCCTCCTCTAAATAAAAAATGGATGACGGAGGAGACTCATCCACGACCTCCGACACTAAACTCTCCTCCTCTTGCATGTTTCCGCTGTCCATAGCGTTCCTTGACAGCGTCGTTTCTAAGTCACCAATTTAGTGCTACTTGGTCCCAATGGAATTTCCCATTGGGAACCTGCTAGCACTAAGTGGCTAACTGGTTTGCAAGATGCTTCCGACAAACAGACCACAACCAAACTTGCTTGCGAACCCTCCACCACA